ATAATTCCAAGACCAATAATAATACATAAATGTATGTACACATACAAGGAAATGCCTCTTTATGGGGCAAAACAAGTGGTTATAAATATGTATTTATATATATATTCTAATTGTTTAATCATTGTAATTATTTAAAATTAAAAACATCACTCGTAAATAAATGAAGAATCATCATTAACGAGTGTGCTGCTTGACAAATTGAATGGAGATGCCACCTTGTGGAAATCTTTAGTTACTGCATGCAAAAAACGAGGAATTATTTTTCTTTTCTTTTTTTTAAATGTTCTCTCTTTTTTCTCTATTTGTTTTTTCTTATTAGTAAAAATACATTTTTAAAATGTTAATGTGACCTTTTTCTATAATCATATGCCATGGCATGGTGTGGTCTATGCTGGAGGAATAAAGGACAAACAAAATAATACATCTTTAAACCGTGTAAACAAACAGTGTGAATTGTATTTGTGTTACCAACAGATTTAAGGACACTTCAATTAAAAGAAAGCCAAACTAAAGCAGAAATGAAAACAATCACTACATAAAAACAACAACAATGAAGTATTGTCTATTTCACTGTTTCCATAACACTGATAGATTCTCTTTTTCTCTTGTTCGGTTCAGTTCTTCTATATCCAGTCTGTAAATAATCCCCGCACCCTTCTTCCTGTTTCTGTCGCCTGCCTTATCCTGCACGCTTTCTCCCGTCTCAGTGTCTGCTCCAGTAATTCTTGGATTTCTCTTCACACCCATTACCTTCACAGGTACCAGGGAGAGGTGGGGGGGTTGTTGGCATAGTCTTGGGAGGGGCAGGTGTGCCTGTGGTCTTGCCAACGCTGCTGAGCAAAGCTGGGAGCTCATGTGAGATGGCGTTCTCCAGCTTGTCCAGCAGGCAGCCCCTGGACCAGCTGCAGTGGTAGGACAGCTGCTTGAAGCCCGAAACCGGGTTCACACCAAAGAAGTCTTGATAGGCCTCCTTGTTGGGCAGGTCAAACTTGCTGACGTTGGTCTTGGCCAGGATAGACTTGAAGATATAGTACTTGTCCGGGTCGTTGACAATGTCTTGGAAAACCTCGTAGGGGTCGCTGAACCAGCCCAGCCTGTCGTTGTAGGTCTGAAGGTAGCGGTCCACCAACAGAGCGTGGATACGCACACGGATGCCGTGCTGGCGGATAAAAGCTATTTTGTTCTCCATTTGGTTCTCAATCATCTAGAGCAGAACAAATGAGACAAACAAATGCAGAACATCGTCATTCATGACATTGGGCTGTAGGGGGCAGGACATCTGACACTGGGTGAGGTCGTAGTTTAGCAGGTCGTACCTGGTTCAGGTCATCCAGCAGAGAGACCTCCTCCCTCATGAAAAGTTCTCGGCTGGTGCCCGCAGCGTAATCTTGTGGCCAGAAGGAGCTGACATAAACCCTGGGGGGCTCTGTGACGTTGACCAACGGGGCCATGCTCCAGAACAGCGCCCCGTACACTCTCATCAGGTCCTGCTTGGAGAGATTGTCGGCCTTGTTGAGGATGAGGCGGATCTGAGACTCGCGGCCCTTCATCTGCCTGAAGAGCATCTCCAGTTCCCCGCCGACGTCGAGCTTGGTCGGGTCAAAGACCAGGAAGATGAGGTCGGCTCGATCGATGAACCACTGACACACCTCGTTGTAGGGGTAACCTGCGGTGAAGGAAGAAGGTTGGTGTGAGGTTTCACTTCAGAGAATACACTCCTTGTCATTGTGACACAGCTCACCACTGCACACAACCAACTGTGACCTCTGCTTTAACCCATCACCAAAGTGAACAGTGGGCAGCTTTGAACGCCCGGGGAGCAGTGTGTGGGGACGGTGCCTTGCTCAGAGCACCTCAGTGGTAACTTAGCAGCTGATGGATTCGAACCTCAAACCTCCCGGACCCAAGTCCGCTTCCTTAACCAAGCACTGCCACTGTTTGCGGCATTATTTACCATTCAAATATAAGACAGTCTACCCAGGAATAATCACCTCGCTCCTGTTGCTTCCGGTTCTCGATGATGCCCGGCGTGTCCACGAAGGTGACCCTCTCCAGCAGCTTGTGTGGCATCTCGATGCCCACCAGCCGCTCCAGGAACCCTTGGCCAAACCTCTCCAGAGGAGAAAAGGACCGAGAGCTGTCCGCTGCCATAACGATGCCCTCTACGCTGCGGAACTTTTCCCCATGCATGATGACGGTGTACTCCGAGGTGGTGGGCTCAGCCCCTGGTGGAGGGTTAGAGGGAGAAGTATTTTAGTACTTTACTAACATGACGATACAAAGTGGTGAAGACAGAAAGATTTAATGATGAAAGAAGGATTATATGTTAATTATCACATTTAATGAATAAGAGGTTAAATAAACATTTTGACATAGATTTTCTTTTTACATTTTTTTATCGTTTTCTTCTTGGATTCATTTCTGATGTGACAGACAAACAGAGGGTCAGGTGTTTTGAGTGTTAACCTGTGTAGAGTTCCTGGGAGGTGCCGTGAACATTCAACAGGTAGTTGATCATGGTCGACTTGCCAACACTCCAGGGTCCCAAAAACAAAACCATTGGTTTGGAGGTGATCTCACCATCTGCAGTGTGTGTGTGGAGAGAGAGAGAGAGAGAGAGAGAGAGAGAGAGAGAGAGAAAACGGCATGAAACAAATTTGTAAACACATATTAGGATAAATCATGTGTCACTCATCACTGCAGCACAGATATTTTTAAACACCTTGACATGATGACATAAAACTGTTTCAGTCTGAGGTCAAATATAGCTGTAGTGCCACCTTCAGGCCAAAAAGGAAGCTCACTAAAAGGTCTTAAGTCAGAAGAATTTAGTCATAAGAATATTTAGAACATTAAAATGACCTTTGGATTGGTCCAGATAACGCCTCATATCCACACAAAATAAACAATTTAATTGTAAACTCTAAGTTAAATGTCTAAAATGTCCAATTGATTCTCTGTAGCTCATAAAACGTGCGGACAAAGACTTCTGTTCTCGAAATGTTGTTGAAGAGTGAACAGAAAATGGTCACCTGTGACCTCATACTGCTTCAGCTCATTGTACTTGTAGGCCTCCTCCATTGGCTTGATGGCTGTGTGGTAGATGTCCAGGAGTTGTTTCATAGCAGCTGTAGGGAAGGCCAGAGAAATGGTGATTATGATGGAAAAATAGATTTACATTTGATAATAAGATGCAGTGAAAAATACTGTATCCTCCAGCTGCTCATTAACATTTGCATTAATTACTCTGTCTCTACACACACACACACACACACACATTCTGACAACTGTTGATTGTTTCTTTCTTTCGCATGATGAATTCATTTTTGGAATATTTGCTGTCCTTAAAATAGCCCCAACCTTCTGCTGGTCCACTTTTGCACACATCTGTTTTTCCTTTTCATTGTCAAGGCAACTGTAAACTTTCTGCTGCATTTTAGTTTCAGTCTGTTACTGCAGGCGTTTCAGACAAAATGCAAACACGTCAGAAGTCCAGGAGACGGTTTCTAACCTGAGAACTCCGCTGAGGTTTCAACAGTAGCCAACTGAAGTGTGTCCTCAATGTGGGAGCGGTCTCTCAGCATCGGGCCTGCGGCTTCATCGACCTCTTGACCTGATGAGAAGGATAAGACCCAGTTACATCCACACGTGAGTGAAGCATGTTTAAATGATGCCTGTTTCGGCAGGAAGCCACTGTGAAACACGATTAGCTGTTCGAGGACAGGAACAACATATTTCCCCGACATGGGCTGGACATTTTAACCATTTACAAGTAAGATTAATTTTCCTGTTCTATCATTCTGGTTCTAGCATTCTTTTAGGTCCTTGATGCCATAAGAAGCAAACACTGGTACAGTGATGTCAATCCTTCAGTTTCATGCAGTTTACAGTGAGTCAACTGTAATTTCCGTTAATGCCACTACATGGCAGCAGACATCACGTGTGCCAAATTATTAGGTTTATTCGTGCACATTTTATTCAAATTATTTCGTGATTGGCTGATTACACATGAGAGGTTTGACCAAGGAGCCTGGAGCGGCTGGTGGGCGTAGATTACACCCAGTAACTTGGAGGTACGTAATGTCTACACCCACAATACATGAAAATATGAATTAACATACTGTACCTCTAGAGTCCAAGTGTAATGGCTCCTCAGAAGCAGCTTTCACCTCAGTTGCCTCCTCATCTTCCACCTCCACCTCCTCATCCTCCACCTCCACCTCCTCTTCTTCAACCACCACCTCCTCTTCTTCCACCTCCACCTCCTCTTTAACCAACTCAGATCCCTCTTCCACAACATGTGCTTCCCCCATAGATTCTGCTGAGACCTCCTCAACAACAGGTTCTAGCTCATGTTCTGATTCTGAAGTTGCATCAACCTCTGGTTCTGTTTCTGGAATTACATCAGGCTCTGATTTTGTTTCCAGTCCTGAAGTGGTCTCCACCTCTAGTTCTGGTTCTAGTTCTGCAGTAGTATCAACCTCTGGTTCTGGTTCTAGTTCTGCAGTGGTGTCCACCTCTGGTTCTGTTTCTGGCTCTGAAATGACCTCTGGTTCTGGTTCTGTATCTGTGTCTGGTTCTGTGTCTGGCTCTGAAGTTGCTTCAAACTCTGGTTCTATTTCTGGCTCTGATTCTGCTTCTGTTTTTACACCTAGAACCTCAGGTTCTGGAGTCACCTCTGGTTCGGCCTCATATTCTGCCGTGACTTCTGGCTCTGATTCCTCAGGTTCGATGTCGTCTGTGGCGTCTTCTTCTGGACCTGCTTCAGGTTCAGATTCTGTCACTGTTAGGTCTTCCTCAGATGAAGATCCGACAACAACGTCTTCACTGTGTAAAATGTTGGTGAGTACATCCTCCTCTTCGCCATCCTGATTTTCTTCCTCTTCCTCATCATCTTCCTCATCCTCACCCTCAATCTCTTCCTCATTCTCATCATCTTCCTCATCTTCACCCTCATTATCTTCTTCATCCTCATTCTCTTCACCTTCCTCTTCCTCAGCTGTTCCCTCTGTCTCTTCCATTACAGCCTCCTTCTCTTCGTCATCAGCAGCTTCCTCCAGCTCAGTCACGTCATCTTGAGATAAAGTGTCTTCAGCATCAGCCTCTTCTTCCTCCTCATTTCCTATTCCCTCCTCTGCACTGACATCCTCTGAAGCCTCAACAGTCGTTACCACATCATCTTCTTCCTCAGTCACCTCTTCTTCTACCCTTTCTGAAACCTCCTCCTCTTGTCCTTCCATTTTTCCAACATGGGCCAGATCGTCATGAGAAGCTTCTCCCTCCTTGTCCTTCTCGTCGTGTTCTGAAGGAGAAACTGAATCGTCTTCTTCCTGGTCTCCTTCTGGATCAGAGCCTGGAGCCGATGGAGGAGTGCAGGGCTGACACATGGCTCTCTCTGGTGCTGGGGTGTCATTGGAGGAGCTCTGACTAGAAGGTTCTTCTGTTGGTTCACACCCACAGGAGTAGAGGTCGCCCTCTTGCTGCTGCTGCTGCACCTGCACGTGTACCAGAGTCTCCTCATTATGGATTGAAGACTGTGCAAGAAGGTCTGTAAGGAGAACAAAGAACTGTTTACAAACAAACTGTACATGTTTCTAAAGCATTTCAGCTTTCAGTGGTTTTGTTAGGTTAATACTAGGGATGTCCGATATCCCACATGTTGATATTGTCCAAACACTTAATTTCCGATTCTGATATAAACCGATACCGGCCTGGTAATATTTATCTATTTATACAAACAACTGTATGAGTTGCTGGCACCAGCATTCTCCATACAAACCCCTGATCATTATAATAGATGAATTAAATGAGCTGCAAGGCTGCCATCTAGTGACTTTCACTTTAACATACAGCCGTTTATCCCCAAAACTATTTTTATATCACACATCATTTGTTGAAATCCAGACATTGCGTTGTAGGGTTTAACTATGAATTTGCTACAGAATATTTAATTCTTGTATAAATCACATTTATACAAGAACTTGAATTATTGTGTATTGTTTTAAAAGGTGAGCAGTTATTACTAAAATCTTTTACCCTTACTGTACTCTGTGTGCATGAATGTTCTCTATGCGACCGACACAAGCACAGAGGACAAGGAGCACGAGGTCGTAACCTGCGTTTAATTTTAACTGCTTCTGAGGTGTAACTACAGAGGAATGCACGGTTGCACTTAGTGATGTCAGTCGGCTCAATGCTGGGCTACAGTTACAAGAAGGGCTCGAATTGCTGGAGACGGTCTGGTGGTCAGCTGCTGCAGGTTTTGCACATTCTAAATGAAGCACTGACATTTCATGAAAAACTCCACACAGACACAGAAATCATGCTAATGCTAAAGGGGAAGAATAATACAAGCATTCTATTTCTTCTATTATTTCCATCATGTATAGTAAAGAAAATCACCATCTTGAAGGGAACATACTATTTTTATACTAGATCTTTTCTGATCAGTCGGTATCCGTGCCTTTACCTTTAAATGTTAATGAGTCACAACACAACTCCGCCCACTCCTTCCACAGGAAAGACCTGAGGACTGATTTGTGTAACCATGTCAACGACTGAGAAGTGAGAGGGTTTTTTTGTTCTTTTATAATCTTGGATTGCTCCTCATAGAATTTATCTACAGCCCATGCCTGGAATCATCTGCCTCAGACCTGACAGCTAAATCCAGGTAGTCAAAAATACAGTAGATATTGCACTCTGTTAGGAGTGATGAAAACTTGTCTATTTTTTGGCCAGCTCATCATTGTAAATTAAATTTCAATTGAAGTAAAACAACTAAATATTTAGTTTATTTCTATTCAAATATTATAATAAGACTTTACAATAATATAATATATTTTAAGTAGTGTAAAGTATTTTTATAGGTATAATATTATAGGTAAATATTTTTAGGTTTGAATAAAATGTTACAATATACAGTATATTTTTGGATGTGCCTATGGCAACAAAAATAATTTTATTAATTAATTTCCAAAGTTTAGGAAAATTTATTTCCTTGGGATAAATGTTGTAATTGGTTGAAGTCTAAGAGGAACAGAGAGGAACAGGTGACTGGGACTGGGACCACTGTGAGACTGAAATAGAGTCACAATGACTCAGTGGGTGAAAAGAAGGGGAGTTAATTCCACTCCTATTTCCAGATAGAGAGACACTCCCCTCCTTCCTGTGATTGTCAGCAGGTCGGCCTGCAGCTCTGTCGCACTAATGCTCACATTACTGCAACAATGTGAGAGGCACAGAATCTTTAGTGGAAAGAGAACTGACCGGCCGCTAAGACGTGAAGTAAATGTCCGTGAGTCACAAGTTTAAATATGTATAAATAAATACAAGACTCATCATTTACCAACATGTAAGAGATTATAGTTAAATAAATAAATATGTTTACGTCATTGTAGTCTCAGAAATGTAATAAAATCACTTTTTATGCATCTCACGTTTACAAAACAAAAATTGTATTACTTAATTATGTAGTTGTAGTGAAATATTTGAGTTATTGACGTCGCCCCTACTCAGCTCTGTCACATCTCTTAACTGGGACATCCCCTGGACATGGAAGTATTTAAAAGGACGGGTGGAGGGGTGAGGGGGGTTGCTCCCATGACTACTAGGTCAAATATTGACCCAGAAGACGTTCTCCTGATTTCAATCAAAAACGTTTTCATCTGAGCTTTTCATTTACTCCTACAGTAAAAGCATCTTTTATATTTCTATAAGTCATTCAGCATCGTTGGCATGTCTTGGATCTTTGAACTCACGTCTCTACTGAACATGAACAACAAAACTGACCAATAGAAGGTCCTAATATGAACATTTCAATTAAATTTGAATCAATAATCAATCAGGTTCAAACATGAGGTGAAACCTCCAAATTGACGTTCTAATGTAGAGTTCTTCTGCAGAGATGCTGTTAAAATATTTTGATAAATGGACATTTTTAAACCATTAATATGTCACTCAGTATTGTTGCCACATTTTAAAATATTAGTGACATTGATCAGTAGTATGCCTAATTATGTAATTAGTGGTATGACTGATTGAGATACAGTTGACAGACAGATGTCACTATCAGCCCCATCCTCACTGTATCTTACACAATAAAACATTAATATACATTAAGCTGTTTATAAATACTATAATTTTTACTTTTCAATATCCCACATGTCGATATTGTCCAAACACTTAATTTCCAATTCAGATATAAACCGATACCAATATCGGCCTGGTAATATTTATCTATTTATACAAACAACTGAGTTGCTGGCACCAGCATTCTGCATAAAATCCCCTGATTATTAAATAGATTAATTAAATGAGCTTCAACACTGACATCTAGTGACTTCCCCTTCAATATACAGTCGTTTACAACAGTTTATTCCCAAAACTATTTTAATATCACACGTCATTTGGTGAAACCCAGACATTGTGTTGTCAGGTTTTCATTATCAGAGGAAACAACGATAAGGTTCGTACAGATATTACATAACTATGCATCTTTGCTCCATTGACCTGAAATTGGTTCTCATACATTGTACATTGGTGAAAGACATGAAGACTTCGTTTCTAAGCAATGGTACAAGTACAATACATTTAACAAGATGGATCCATAAGTCCTATAAAACTCTAAGATCAACTCGGGAAAATTACATAATGTTTATTAACTTTATTTTTTCTTTCAACTCAGCGTGTTCTCACATCTTTATGAGTTCAAATCACTGTGTAAGAGCTGCTGCCAGGACAGTCTCACTCAGCTGTTGTTATGTCACACCTCAGACCGCTGACGTTCAACATGTGCGCTGTACCACATAACGCACAGTGCATGTGAAAATCTCTCACAGTACTCTGAGGGCGCCATTTAGAGTTTAACCCAAACCTAAAGCCAAAAATGACATCATCATTGACCCCACATAATGTCATAATGGAAACAGTAGAAAAGGCCTTTGCATTAAAATGCCCCGTAGTAACTGCCCACAGTCAGTCTGCACTGCTGCCACTCATAGACAGTTTAAAATGTACAGTGCTATCAATAACACCACCAAGAGAAATGTATTGAATTGAACATGCAAGACTAACTAACAAACTAACTCAGAGCTACTGATCGTTAAAGGCAAAACTCCACACCGCCTTCACTCTACCTGCAGCAGACAGGACTAGCAGAGACAGCAGGCAGCACGCAGACACCAGTGGCTTCATTTTGACTGGCAGAGGCCGGCTCTTCATGCACCCCTGTTATATATACACTGCTCTGTGTGAAGGTCAGGGAACGTGCCAGGGGAGGAGGGGCACAGCAATCACACACAGCTGTTGGCCACATTCGCATGGGTAAGTTGAATTATAAATAAAAAAAAAAGCTCCAGAGAGTTTGCACGGAGCTATCTTTATGTTTATTAGCATACGTACAATTAATTAACCAGATTATGATGTCATCATGCCAAAGTTGCGTCTGTCATACATTCACAGGATGTGTTCGAGTTTAGTGGCAAACTTGCATTTTTTTATCTCCAATTTTCTGAGGAACCATTTACTGCCACCTGGTGGCCCCCCAGGGGACTACTTATTTACACGTGTTGCCTGAACTGGACACCTTAAGCCTTAAACCTTAAGTCTCCCCACCTTGGGAAGACACAGCCAATAAGGACATACTTGGGTGTAATGTGTCTGAAACTGAGCACAAAGGGCATGTAGTTTCTTCATCTTTGGATGAGGGAAGTGTACCATGTGTTGATCAGAGCAGGAAGCTGCTCTACTGCCCCCTGTAGAGCTGGTAAAAACATTGTAATACATAAATTTCTTGTTCTTCTTCTGATGGGAATATTTCGTCTCAACAGTGTTAGTATGTCTGGTAAAACTTTGTGCAGTTTGAGCTGGGCTAATGCTCCTAAGGAGTAAGGTGTGTTTTTGGACTTTCTATATTTACTCAACTAAAAGCTCTATTTAAAAAGCCTTCAAGTTAGGAAATAATAAGAAAAGGTGTAATAAAAAAAGTACAAAGTTCATTTATTGTTTTTCTTTTTTTTTCTTTTTTTTTTTTACAAAGGCCTGTTTACCCACTTTTTTTTTTATAAACAAAATATAACAGCTTCTTATCGACCTGGAAGGATGAAAGAAAAATGGAACACTAATATAAAAAAAGCTCTTCACCAGAAACATAGAAAAAAATGGAACACAGAAAATCAGAACACAATAGCAACTGATACATTGTGTCAAAACAAGCAGAGGGCTTACAACAAAATGAATCCACAAGCTTCCTCTCATCATCATCATCATCATTCATTCAGGCAGTACAGAACAGCAAGTGCTTCATATCAAATATCTCGAAATTGAATCCATAGACAGCAGTGATGCAACAAAATGTACAAAGAAAGATGGGTTAAGAGTCTTTGTCCGACTAACACCAAATTTAACTCCATCCAATCTTATAACAAAGACAGACCCCGCCCCCTAGTTTGCCATGGAAAATACTAACAAAAAACAAACAAAGAAAGATGTCAGTGAATTTTCAAACATCTCACAGGAAGACCAGTTTAAACTGAACCAATCAGTCATATGATCAGAAAGAGAAAAAAACAAGAAAAGAAGAAATACTACAATAAAACCCACTTTAGATGAGAGGAAATTGCAATTAGTAACATGCATCCAAACTGGCAACAGAACACACCAGACATCGAAAGACAGATACAAATCCAAACAAAGGGAATGTTTACAGCATCACGTCAGCATATCGTATGAAGCATGCCAGGAGAGACGCTTGAAGCAGGGATTTCCAGTCAAATTCCCGGGATCAATACAAGCAACGTAACATGAGGTGGACAGATTTAGCTAATAACATTTGTTATAAAAAAAGAAAAACAGTAAAGAACACAAGAGAAAAAGGTCTGTTCAGTCAATTTTCATTCGCTTGAACACTGATTAAGTACTTTTTCTGGCATTTAACGCATGGGAATATCTCTGTTGATTGATGACCGAGTCGAATTAGTCAATTTAAAGCGTGTATTTATACAAATTGATCATGTTTGACCCAGTTGAGGAAAGCGTAGCATCCTTGGTTCTCAGATTTTTACATTTTTTCTGTTGTGAGAACACACGCACTCAAGTACTGCCATTGACCATCAAATAAATGTCACTGTTGTTGCTGTGCAGTGTAAAACAATGGATAACAAATTCACCCATTTCAAAGACGTTAAGTGTGGGGTTTGGCCCCAGTTATTGCCCCTGCACGGGAAACCTTGTGGACAAAGAGCATATTACAAGTAGCGACTACTACATTCTTCTATAGGAGCATGTCAAGTTTCATAGACACTGTAGCCGTAAAGCCAGCACTTAGCAACAGTGCATAGATAACTCCCCCTAATGGCACAGATAGACGTGTTAGAGTCGGGTTTGCATAAATAGGAAAATCTAGTGCATAGTCACAGAAGTCAAGAAACCAAGACCAAGACAGACTGGTGGGAACTCTGTTAGCCTTCATGCTTCATTAGCCCAAGCCTTGGTTTTTCACAACATTGTATGAAAGATAACATGATAATATAACAAACACGGGACGATGCATTCTCTCCTGTTTTAGGTTGAGGGAGCAACGACATCTGTCACAAGCAGAACAACAACACAGCAGAGCCTTTGAAGGTCTATTAATTCAACCTGTCTGCTGTGAACTCCTAACGAACCGCCCTAAGTGAGTTGCATAACAACACGTTCAACTTTAACATTCAGTAACAATGAAACAAAAACAAATGGTAAAAAAAAAACAATAATTCTTGTTGTAAATGTTCAAAAGCTTATTTTGTTGGGGCCATTTACATCAGTATGCCATTTTGTTTCAAGTACATAAGAACTGCTTGTCTTGTGTCGACTGAATTTATGTTTGCTATTAAGTGTGCACCTATTCTCCAGGCTTTTATCTTTAGAAATGCCCTCAGTTGTAGCCTGAGTAAGGTTTCATTGCCCCGGGCACCGTTTTTTTTTTTTTAAGAGAAAAACGAATTGAGACTCGGAAGGAATTTAACGCACTGTCACGTCTCTGCTCGCTGTCAGGAGCCGCTTGTTGAGGGTGTTGTTACACTCGGTTCAACCATTACACTAAATCCTCCCATTTATAATACTGTCAGTGTGTAATTGACAAGACATTTGATACTGAGACTCTTTGCGGTACACGTTAAACCAATGAAGGACAGACTGAAGCCCACAGGGGTTTGCATGAGGCGAAACCTTAGATTTTCAAGTAGAGGACAACCAGCTCAGACAGTATAAAACAGCCTTTAGAAATCCCATGAGGCCTTCTGTGCACACTGACAGCCCCTCCCCTGTTTTCAATGTTAAAAGGTTTTACAGTACAAGATTAACACTGAGCTTAACCACTGGATTTCTGAGTTTTGGGTAATGCCAGAGAAAGGTTGTCTTTTAAAAAGTAGTCAAGCTGCTGGAGGGAATCTTACAGTGAGTAGGCATTAATGTGTTAGTGTGTGTGTGTGTGTGTGCGTTGCTTGATCAGTTCATGGAGCAGTCCTCTCCTTCTGTGTCGGTGTCTGTGTCTGAGCATGCCATGTCCATGGCGGCGTGGGCGGGGCTAACAATGACCACTCGTCTCTGCTCCTCCTCAGCACTGGCTCTCCTCTCCTGAGTGCGTTCGATGTGCTGGATGGCCTGAGGAGACAGGATACAGTATTTGATCACGGTGATGGGGTTGAAAAAAACAAAACAAAACAAAAAACAAGTCACTGAATTATCACTAATACATTTCACCAGAATGAAGAAGCTTTTTATAATACAATTTTAAGTGTGAAAATGCCTAAATGTGGCCTTAACGCTTGTGTTTCAGAAATTAAGAGAAACAAAGTTGTGCCCTAACAAATGAACACTTAAAAGTGTGTTGTCTTCAATATTATTAATTTTATCATTTGGATTGGTATTACAAATTAAAAACAGGTTTTAGCCACTGGTCTTGTGATAACTCTGATAAACTGTAAAACATGTAGTACCTGCACAATAGTGTCCAGGTTCTGCCTGGACGTGGACAAAGTGTTGGTGTGGACTGAAGGGCTCATGGTGACCACAGTGACATGATGGTGGGCCTGTTGGTTTAGTGTTGGAGCTGGGACAATGACTGTGGGGTGATGGGTGGGAGTAGGGAGAGGCAGCACCTGGAAGACAGAAACAAATATATGTTTTTTAAAATACTTTCGAGTGTATTTAAATAAGTGTTTAGTTTAAGCAGACAAAAAATTTGGGCGTTTCACACCTTTGGACTGTGTGTTTGTCTATCAGCAGTTTGGATCTGCTTTAGTCTCAATAGTGTCTGACTCTGAATGAGCGCCTGCTCCTCCTCTACCTGCTGGGTGATCACCTTGAGACGTTCAGGGTGCAGCTGTGTGTCCAGAGAGCGAACCTGTGCACAACAAATCAAGCGTTCAAGTTTAAAGTTTTTAGAAGTCTACAGTACTGTAGTCAAACATAAATGTGTGACTTTAAGTCTGACTGACAGTCACGTCTTAAGTGTTAATACTTAAATCTTAGTTTTCAAGTACCACAGAAATATATAATTTGGAAGATTTAAACATCTAGGCCTAAAATAATACACTAAATAGTGTGATTGGAAGGACAAAGGTTAGTAAGTGAAAGCTTAGAAAAGTCAAGGAATACAAGGAAGGAGATGGCATGTGAGATAACACTAAAATGAGGAAATACAGTACATTTTATCTTGATGTATTTCAGTGAATTCTCTTTCTCTGAATTGTATTCATGTTAAAAAGCAAATGCAGAGTTTCACTCATTTTCACACATCTTTTTCATTTAATCAAAATAAATAATCAAAGGGTTGATAAACAAATCTGATTGCTGCCTATCTAGTTAACACAGAACTATAATAATAATCTAGATTGTCCTCTTCACCTGCTCTTCCAGCTGCATGCGTGCCGATCGCTCCTTGTCCAGTTGCTGTCGCAGCTCCAACATTTCCCTCCTCAGCTCTTCTACCTTCTCCTCCTCTAACGTGTCTGGAGACCCGATCCCTTCATCTTTCTCCTCTGCTCGCCTCCTCTTTGGAGATGAGCCGCTGAACTCCTGTAGTCACATGGATTATGTAAAACCATAAATATACCTTAAAAACCACTTGGTTGAACGTAGCTGTAGGTGCTGGAACAGACGGGTTACCTGAATGAAACGTTTCAGCTGGTTGTTCTGTGCTAGGAGCTGTGTTTTTTCCTGCTCCAATGTGAAGATGTAATCTGAGGTTTGCTGCAGGATGGCCGCCTGGCAAACAAGAAAGCAGCAGGTGAAAACACAGTACACAACATATGGTTTAGGGTTACACTCATGAGTGTTGATATTTTAGCTGCACCTTGCTGAGCTTTTCTCCATCAGCATGGGGCAGGAGTGTTTTCAGAGACTGGAAGCCTGCATTGATGCTCTGCATTCGCCGGCGCTCATTGCTGTTGGCGATCTCACGGCGGATTCTTCTTTCCTGATCCTGGGCTGTCTCTGGACTCAGAGGGATGTTGGCCAGGCTGAGGGGCAGAACAAGAATTTTCTTTCAAGTTACAACTGCTTTTCAACAATTAATGTTCAGCTGCATGAAAGTGTAAAACAAAACCTTAACATGGAAGTGAACCAGGAGCTAACCCTGACCTCACTTCATCTCTTAGGGTAAAGACAAAGGTCATTGGGTTTGACTGGACGTATTGCAGAATTGTAAAACAGTAAAACACTTTTCTGATCTCTAACCTCAGCAGTGTAATAGGTAAACTATTAAAGCCATGAGGGGGGTCATGTGATCAAGTAGACGGCTCACTTGAAAGACCAGATCTTGGATGAACATAAGGGTCACAGTTCTCAGCAAAGGACAAGTGTGCATGTGATGACATTTTAAGTTGCACGACTTGATTTGAACTGTGTTCATAAGTGAGACAACAGGGCTGAACTGAAAACAAAGAACACACACATGACTGACGTGAAAGATGTATATAACTATCCCTAGTTTTCCCAATACCTTCTTGTAGAATGATTGATGGATTTTTATGGCAAATCTGTTAATCAGTTAGGTTTAACATGTATATTTAAGCAGCTAAGTGTACAAATATCTAAATAATATTAAAATAAGGAAACAAAAGGTATAAGAATTATGGCGTTTGGAGCGACATTGACATCATATTTAAATGCCAAACACAAACCTAACTCTTCTAACCCACAAGTATTTTCCTAAACAACGTGAAACCATGAAAAAACATCAACTATTCACACAAAACATCCATTATGAAACAAAAAGCTAAATCTAGAGGCAAAATGCTATATATAGTCGAACAGCACCCACATGCAACAAATACGACAAAATGCGTGTTTTTTAATTTACTTGCATGCTATCATGTACACGAAAAAACATGTAATATCATGGCCAAACTAGTATTATAATAATTTTTAAAAAAGGGAAATGCTGGGATTACAAAAATAATTTTGTCCTCGTGACTGACGCTAAAAAAACGCGTTGGTCTGTAAAAACACAAACTGCTGTAATTGTCAAATACAACAAATAAAAACCAAACATCTCAAAATGGTCATCTCCTGATCGTATATTTCGAAGTCAGTTACCTAAAACTGTATAAAAATAAAAAATAGAAATAAATACAACTACGGCTTGGAGTTCAAATCAGCTGTTGTGTGTCGTATTTCCAGGAGCTGCAGTACTCACGGGTGACGATTGGGGGCGCACAGCAGAGTTCACTGGAAACACAGGCCTCTAGCGTCATGGAGAACAATGCCTCCGTCCTGCTAGTTCCGAGCTAAGCGCGTCATTTCATCGGTCAACAAAGAACACTAGGCGTCCATAATAACAACACCGTATTTTGGAGACATTTGTCAAGCGGAACTTGACTCACTGAGTTGTAGCTTACATTCACGGGCGATCAGAAAATGTAGCGCACCACTTTTCCAAGCTAGGCTAATTTTAGCACACGACACAAGCACGTTCGCTGCCAAAGTAACGTTCCAAGACGAACGTAAAGACAGCAAAACAACCAGCTTTCAGTCGCAGACACTTAAAACAAGGTGTACCGCAAAACGAGAAAAGCAGAGATAAATATTGCATCCAAAATATACCATAATGCACACAACAGTATGGGACGCGGGGCAACATGTTCCCCACCACGTGGTGGATGTTTAACCGGATGCAAAAGTATCGATTTCACCACTTAGATTGACAAATTTCCCAGCCAAATGGCTGCAAACGTGCGGCGTATGTTGTTTTGTGTCACGGACTGTAAATCTAACGAGTAATACCAACACCAGTTTCCTCAATAACTGGCGCAGCTGGTACAGTTGACTGACCAAGGTGCTGCCAAGGTATCGCGGCAAAGCTAATATGCTAGTGAAGCCAGGCTGCATTGCCTGCACACACACATAACCAGACAGCCACACAAAAGAGCGGCGTGACACAAAGAGTGGGTCGCACACCTGCAGAGTCCTCCTATGACATCCTTCTCTGTCTTCTTGAACTGCTGTAAGGACGATATCTTCTCTGTTGGCATCACGAAATATTCCATGCTTCCTTTCACAGCCGCCTCCTCCTCCTGCTGTTGGTGTTTGTGTTTTCACCGCGACCTCTTTGGAAGCTCACACAAAACGATGGTCTTCTTTTACCGCACAGCGTTACCGCAGGCTAGACTCCTCAGTGACGCATGTTTCAAAGTCCCTTCATAAAATCTTAGAAATGTAAAAAAGCAAAGTTTAAAATTAGAGACACCTAAAGCCCTACTGCTGTCCACAGCTGATGGAGTTCCCTCCAGTGTGTGTGTGTGTGTGGCCTCGTGCCTCCGCCCACTACCCACAGTGTGTGTGTAGAGGCGGGAAACAGCTGGTTGGAATCATACGTTTTCCGGGAGGCAGAACAAACAAACCTTTAAGTCTGTGTAAATGCAGTGTAACAAAGCTCACTGGGGCACTGACGAAATAAAACAACGATGGTATGTTATTGACATCAGAATAATGCAAATTTATGTAAAATAGAACAGAAACAGCACAATGTAAACTAAATAAAATTAACAAATAATTAAAAATATATTTTTGAAAAAATATATTTATTGATTTTTTATGCAAGGTGATTTACACACAGAGAGACATATATATTGTATATACATTTATAACACAGGATCAATCACAGGGTAGCTGTAGATTAATTATGATTGATCATTGTTGTAATTTATCACGATTCATCAAACTACATATAATTCCAAAATATGACAAAAGTGTGACTAATCCAAAGGATGGAAATGCAATAATAAAAAATGTCAACGTCCTGTTTTCGATTGTTGCTAAAATACCCAATATAATATGTATATATACATATATGCAAAAGGACGTGTACTACAGCACTACACACCAATTGAGCGGTTAGACCTATTGAGAGGTGAAGCATATTATTGAAGAAAATGAAACATAAGCAGTAGATTGTAGCTCTAGAAGTGTTTCCTTAGTCTAAGGAAAGAAGACAGAGGCGTATAACCCAAACACACATTTGCCCCACAGTGCAAGACAGTGGTGGGAGTAAATTAGGTGTAACTGTAAAAGTTTAAACAATTGCACCTAATTGTTTAAAATTAGGTGTAATTTTAAACAATTAGGTTTAAAATTACACCTAACAAACACGTTTTTGTTTGTTACCCGATCCAGTCTCTGGTAAGGCTAAACAATTGTAAACAATGCGATTAATTAGGGTTGGTGACATGATCGTTGTTGTCCTAACAAGTGAATGAGTCAATGCAAATGTCCTTAAAACTATCGCGACACCAGTCTGCGTTATAACTGCGTCATATTCATTTCCGTCGCTTATTGGTGACGTAATATACAGACACCTTGTCTCATTCGTAGATAGCTCACATGTGCATGTTAGAAGCATAAACGTAGCCTTTACTAATAAAAGTTAAGCAGTTCTCATTCGAACTGTGTCCAGCAGCAGACAATGATTCATCTGAGAAGAACGGCGCTGATGGCGCTGCGGTCAAAGCAGCGCATGAGCACGAGCTCAGGCTGTTCACAGACTGAGCTACAGCAGAAGAAGAAGGTGAGCGACCTGTCAAACACATGACCTAGGAAGCCAGTCTTTTAAAGCACCATCGAGTGTACTGTATACTCTATCTGCGGTACTCGTTGTTTTCTTCTCCAGGGGTTAGTGTTAGGAGTGTTCGAGCAGGAGAAGGGAAAGGAGTCTAATGTTCATCTGACAGAGGCAGCCAAAGATTTTGACCAAACAGTGTCTGGAAAGCTGAGCGAATTAATAAAAATGTAAGTCTGCAGCGTTTGAGAACTAATCGGTCTCTTTGATATAAATACATGTTTTCTTACACCTACAACACGCTTGAAGTATTAAAACTTACAGTATATTTGAATCATTCTATTGGCTGATGAATAACTATGGAAAATATTCAGATTGGCAGACAGTATAATAATACCATGACAATATTATTAATAACTTAACAAGTTTAACTTAACAATGCATAGATAGCTACAGGTCTTTGTCCTACTTTACCTGGACTGTACACACAAACTGGGTGAACAATTATAGCGAATTCCTAACAGAGATGGATAAGTTCCAATGTGCATTACTGTTAAACTGTAAAAATGAACTGTACTTTTACATGTTTCAGCTCCGGACCGACACTGAAGAAAGGCAAATGCAGACTATTTTATGGAATGCACGCGGTAACAGTTGTGGAAGAGAATCAAAAATAGTACAGGCGTAAACTCAAAAATCTGCATTCACTACGTCTCTTTTGCATCTTGTCTAGGACTTCCCCTGTGTTGCAGTAGTCGGCCTGGGTGAAGAGAATGCAGGTGTGTGTGCTGCAGAGAATTGGAACACCAGCAAGGAGAATGTCAGACAAGCTGTCTCGGGTAAAGAAAAGGTTGCCTTTGCTAACTTTCATGTACAGTAGGTGAAGTGGATGATGTACTGACTCCAGCTGCATTATGTGTTTTCTGTTCATGCTTAGCTGGCTGCCGTCTACTTCAAGACCTGGAAGTGGGCCATGTGGAGGTGGATGGCTGCGGTGATGCCCAGTCTGCAGCTGAAGGTGCTGTTCTGGGCTTGTTTCACTACGACCAACTCAAGTCCAAGAAGAAGGCCAAAGTGACGACAAAGCTTCATAGAAGGTTAGCTCACCAATGCAACAATAAACTGATACTGTTTGGTAACTCTGGAATTCTCAATGCAGTCCAGCTAGTTTCATGTTAATGTCTTTGTCCTGTGTGATATACTTTCAGTGCAGACTTGAATGGGTGGCAGAAAGGAGTTGTGTATGCAGAAGGTCAAAACCTGGCACGGCTATTGATGGAGGCTCCAGCCAGTCACATCACTCCTACCACTTTTGCCAACACCATTGAGAAAGAGTTAGCACCTTACTCTGACAGAGTTACAGTGAATAAGAGGTTAGTGCATCACTCATCCTAATTTGTCATTATTCCCATTTATGGATATTCACGTAATATACTTACTGTATATTCTGCCATTTGGAACAAATGAAATAAAAAATTAAAATCTCATACTACTTTTTCTTTTTATATAAAGATGTCAGGCTTGGATCAAGGAACAAAAGATGGGGGCATTTTTGAGTGTGTCTAGAGGTTCAGAGGAGCCCCCTGTCTTCTTGGAGATTCATTACAATGGTTCAACAAACACCACACAACCTCCACTGCTCTTAGTGGGCAAAGGAATCACGTTTGACAGGTTAATAATAGTTGAATGTACAAAAAGCTCCCTGTGTTATTAGGTTGTTCTAATCTTCTCTCAGAAATACTACATTTGAATTTTACAGTCTTTGATCTATTGTGGAATTATTGGACCACTGTCTCTGATTTCAGCGGTGGTATTTCCCTAAAGCCATCCGCATCTATGGATGCAATGAGGGCTGATATGGGTGGAGCTGCCACGGTGTGTGCATCCATTGTAACAGCAGCGGCTCTGAAGCTTCCAATAAACATTATTGGTGAGTGAATTTCATGGTAACAAATGTAATTTAACAACTTGTATAGTGTATTCAAATTCATTTTATGTTATTTATGTAGTCAGATCCATATACTTTTAGTCATTACTATTAAAAAAAAGAAGTAAATCAGGAACAGCTTATTCTCCCAGTGCTGTCACCTTCAAAACATATTTAAATGATTTTTCTGGTAACTCTTCAATTGAAAAAAGAAAAAGAAAGCTTTTAGAATTAACATTAATGTCTAAAACCCTTCATTCAGGACTGGCTCCTCTGTGTGAGAACATGCCCAGTGGAAAGGCCACGAAACCAGGTGATGTTGTAACCGCCATGAATGGAAAAACAATCCAGGTGGGTGAACAGGGTTCACTGTGAAAAGTGGTTGTCATTTTATAAGATGTATGAGTTTGTGTTCCTTTTTGTCTTGTTCAACAGATTTAACTGCATTTCCGTTTTTTTTCCATTTTACAGGTTGATAACACGGATGCAGAGGGCAGATTAATTCTTGCTGATGCACTCTGTTATGGACACACCTTTAACCCCAGAGCTATTGTCAATGTTGCTACACTAACAGGTGGGATTTCAAACTCACCTCCCAATAAACCAGGATCAGGATAAGTCAGAATGTGTCAAAATTCATGAGCTGCAGCTGATGGTTTCTACAGGCTTTATTTTTTACTGCAGGCGATAAAAGCTTCACACAGGCTACATTCCTGTTGATGATCAAAAAAACTTGTTTGGATTTGTTTAATCACCAGCTAATCATATCAATCAACTCTATTATTTATCCAGGCTTTATGTTGTTCTCTGTTCTGATTAGCCTCAGTGGCAAACCAAGGCTTGGATGACATGTATAATGTTAATGTCAATGTTAATTTAGTAGTGGAATATCTATCATGTGGTTGTTGTAAGGATAGTGGCTTAAGAGATTTGTATTTTATAAGATAGCTATTGTGGGTAAAATTAAAGGCAGTATCCTGTCTTTAAGGTGCGATGGATGTAGCACTGGGCTCAGCAGCAACTGGAGTCTTCACAAATTCTGACTGGTTGTGGGATCAGCTGCACAAGGTACTTAATATTCACCACAAATACAATCAGTGTCTTCTCTGCTCCTGTGCTGAATAAAAAAAAAAGAATGTACTTTTGTAGGCCAGTGTTGTGACAGGTGACAGAGTATGGCGTATGCCTCTGTTCCAGCACTATACCAGACAGGTGACTGACAGCCAGCTGGCTGACCTCAACAATATTGGCAAGTACAGCCGGTATGTATCACATGACTTTCAGTAAGAGCCTTCACGTTTCCTTAGAGGCACCACAGTCTCTGTTTTTACTTACCTGGATTTGACTGTTACATTGTTTGGTTTTGTTGTAGTTCTGGCGGTGCGTGCACAGCAGCTGCTTTCCTGAAGGAGTTTGTTACAGCTGCTCATTGGGCTCATTTGGACATTGCTGGTGTTATGAGCAACAAAGACGAAATTTCGTATCTAAGGAAAGGCATGTCTGGAAGACCAACACGTACCCTTGTGGAGTTTGCTGCTACCCTTGCCAGTCAAGGCTAAAATGTGGATAAAAAAAATCAACACTTCACCTCACAACCTCAATCTGCCACGAACAGACAGAGTTTATGGTCAAAGTCTGTGTCTAATCTGGTGGATTTTCTTGGAGAAACTGATGATAATATTTCTAAAATGGATTTTGATGGGTCATAAATGCTAATGTAAAAATGCAGCAGTCCATCGAATATTGTCCTCTTTTGTAAAGCATCTAGTTTTATCTAAATCAGAACGTTTATGAAATAAATACAATGGTGTATCCAAATGTGAGTTGTGATTGTTTTGTTTTATTTGTGTTTAATTTTCTATTTAAATTCAAGAATATCAACATATACTTAAACATAACTTCCTTAAGGGATTGTTTATATTCGGTTTTTGCACATGGTATTTTGTTACTTTGATGCTTTGTCGGACTCTAGTGGCGCAAACAATCAACGCTCGGTACTTAAGACAGTACCCTGCACAGTGTTGCCGAGGTTGTGCGTTCGACCCTCACATAGGTACACGACGACGTTCAGGCTGTTGTAGCTCCTCAAATTTCCATACTGGTTCCATGGTCCAGCGGATATTCACATCTGCCCTACACGTAGTAAGTCCAGGACCCCCTTCAGAGCGGATGCGGAGCTTCAGAGCGCATGCGCAGTGGGGACAGAAACAATAGACCAAGATGGCGTCGTCCATGAGTGGGATGTTTCCCGGCCAGCAACCTCCAGCTCCTCATCCCGTCGGAGGTCCTGGTGGACCTGGGCAGCCAGGCTTTGCTGGTACCGCTGGTCGTGCACAGGGGAACACCACGCTTGTAGATGAACTAGAAGCTTCCTTCGAGGTAGAGGACATCTTTATGCTAACACTGACTAGTCGTTTGTGCTAACTGTCGTAAATCAGCGTGTACTGTTAGATGTATGAATGCATCGTCTGTCCTAACTGGATAGGGATTGGACTTAACTAGCATCAACATATTTCACTGTCGTTTATGCAATAAGAAAGTTTTTTTCTTAAATAGTTTTCCAGATTAGCCGGTTTACAGTATCACTCATTGATGTGTAAGGGGAGTTGTAATAATGATATGAAAATTCTGAGTTGTTTGGTCAGGACAGAAACAAGACAATTAATCCAAACGAAAATAAAAAAAATCAAATTATTTATATGGTGTGCTAAGGTGTTGATGTTATGATGTAATTAAGTGAATGTTAGCAGTTACTTTTATAACACGATATTCACAATGTTTGGTCTCTGTGTTTGTTTTGTAGGCATGCTTTGCTTCTTTGGTTAGCCAAGACTATGTTAATGGAACTGACCAAGAAGAGATCCGAACAGGTTAGTACTATTTTTAGATCATTAAAAAAGAAAATCTTGTTAAACAGTGTTGTAAACAAATTTGTGTATGTTATTTTGCAGGTGTTGATCAGTGTGTACAAAAGTTCCTTGATGTGGCTCGGCAGACAGAGTGCTTCTTCCTACAAAAAAGGCTTTTGTTGTCTATGCAGAAACCAGAGCAAGTGGTGAAAGAGGTACTTGAACTTTATCAGACAGTCATAATCAAATTGTCAATATTGTGATATGAGACAAAGTATTTATGCTACTTTATTATGTTGCATTTTTGTTAAATAAACATTTTAAATGTGTTTATTTATTTATTTATTTATTTTTACCAAACCCTCTTTTTCTATCACCTTAGGATGTGTCGGAATTACGTAATGAGCTACAACGAAAAGAACTGCTGGTTCAAAAGCATTTGGCCAAACTCCATCACTGGCAGCAGGTACTTGAAGATGTTAGTCTTCAACAACGCAAACCCTCTGACCTTCCTCCACCTGGACCACTGGCCTTTCTGGAGCAGGCCTCTGCCAGTCTGCCTCCGGCCCCTTTAAAACCAAACTAACACAAACACCCACCACCATCCTGTACATATATATGTCATGTGATACCAACTGTCAACCATGCTAATTGGCAAGTTTCAACCATTCAGGTTTTGTATTTAAATTCTCCAATATCTGATGTAAATATCCTCTGCTGTCAGCTTGTTTTTAACAAAAATAAATCAAAATTGTGGGTATTCAAGGTTTGTTCACACTTTTCTTGTTTTGGAAATATTTGACAATTGTTTTGGTTTCATTGAGATCAACAGATTGTTAACGTTTACTGTCTTAATTTAATTTAGCGGAACTAGCACATAAGGAAGGGGCAGTATGGTAGCTGCCCAGAAGGAGCTTTTTACCACTGTGCTGCAGTGTGTGCCATTTTATTTAAATGATAGATTACTGCCAAAGCTAGGCCCAGCTAACATTGATAAAACATAAACCCTTGCCAATATAATTATAAAATAATTATCAAAATGTATTTAATAGGCCTTGCAAAATAAATGAAAAAACAAAATAGAGAGCAAATGTAGAAACTTTTCTCATGTACACAGAACCAAATACTTTCTGTAACCCTCTCAAAATGACTGCGTAGATTGTAATTACTCTCTAAGATAGTTTGTAAGGGGGTTCAACTGAAGCTGTAATTATGCGATGACAAATCCCGGTCTCATGGAACTGTTTGTTCATTGAATAGAGTTGAAGTAGGAACTGTCCTGCCTGTGCCATATCCTGTAATTATGAGCTGCAAGCCTTATCGGAAACTGTTATTTTTCACATTTATAGCTATTGAAGTTAAGCCTGTTACATTACTGATAATAAACTTTAATAAATATTCTCTAATAGCTTTATAGATATGAGCACAGAGAGGCCATGTTAGAGTCTTGTGAGATGGTTGTGAAATAAATTAGTGGTTTTCACACCAGAACAGACTTCACAGCTATGCCTGTGCACACTGACAGAACATCCAGGCAAATATCCTAACAAACTGGGACTGAGAACAATGTTAAACAGACTGCAGTGTTTTTTTTTACATGACTTGATATCTGAATGTTTTTATTAGGTCGACTTTACTGTGTTTATAATAAACAAAATATGATTAATTGCACCACTGCTATTATTACTCCAAATGAACTGTTTTGTTTTAGAATATTTGATCTTCCAAAATACACATGTACATTTTATTGGGAAGCACAGTTGTTTACTACTCGAAACAGACAAACGTAGACTTAGTGGTAAAGATGTAGTGCTGTGCTTTTGCATAGGAAATCAAAGCTATACCATTAAAATAACAATACATATCAACAAGTTTAGCTGCACGGCGGTATAGCCGTGTTTGCCACTTTAACGCTTCCCGCCCACGCCGGCGTTCAACAGACACGTTTTTCTACACCCGATCCACATTTGTTGTCCCCATGTCAATTGGTTTTTAATAGGTTACCACAATTGTCTAACATTCGTAAACTGTTGCTAAGAAGCGCTTTCATAAAAAACATAAAATAAGCAAAGTTAATTAAAATACTCGTATTACATTAATTTATTTGTCTTAAATGTATAATAATAATAATAATAATTATTATTATTATTATTATTGTCAGTCATCCACAGCTAGAGGGAGACAGCGTTTCTTGTGGGACGTCTTGTCTGCTCAGAGGACAGTCTTTGCCTTCATGTTCTTGTTTGTGCTTCTTAACGCTTATTAATCAGCGATAGGAAAATAGCAGGTATTTTTCTCTGTCCGTGTCTGCCACAAATACAACCAGGACCGAGGAGAAGCCGCTGGAGGAGGAGCCGTCGTTGGAGAGATTTGAGATCAAGTTAACTTCGTTTCAGACAGCGGGCGGCTCTGGTCCTGTGTGGCCGTCAGAAGCAGCGGTCTGCTGGGGCCAGTAGTGGCAGCCGGGTACGGACAGTCACCGCAGACAGGCAGTCAGTCAGTGTGTCAGTCAGTCAGTCGAGGCTGTGTGTACATATGACACAGACTGCTGTAGTGTGAGCGACTGCCGTCAACCCTCTTCGCCGCCTCTGCGCCGATGCTCGCCGTCATTCGCGCCTGAGTTTGGAGCCTGGAAAGACGACACTGCTGTGGATATGGAATGGTGCATGCCGCTGGGCCAAGAGTGCTGCCTCTGAACCACACCGCAGTCATGGACAGTCACCCGCTGTAAGTGCTGAGATGTGCACATATATTGTGTACACGTGTATTTGTGTGTGCGCGCGCGTATGTGTGTATGTATGTGTGTGTGTGTGTGAGAGACTGTTGACGTATCACAGTTGCTGCATGACTGATAGTGCCGCATTGGCAGAGGCAGCGAACAGCCTCTGTGGCTGCTGCTCGGTGGCCGGGGGTGGGAGACTGGAGCCTGGAGACTGATCCAGAGATTGTCGATGGAGCACTACAGCTTGTGTTTACTGGATTCATGGGGTCGTTGCGGTGGTATGTGTTGTGATTCAGCCAGGAACAGCCGTGAACAACATTATTGTGGTTAATTAAACGCACAGCAGAGACTGTCAATTCTGAATCAGGGAAAAGTCCAATAATCCAAGTGTCAGTCTAAAATGAAGGCCATCTGTGGCTCATCACAGTCCCCAGATATAAAAATCATTGACGGATACATGGTTGATGTTTGACATCAACGATCTCTGCCAGGATATAAAAATCATTGACGGATACATGGTCAATGATTCACACAAATGTAGTTATGTGACCTGAGTTCATGTAATATGAACTACATTTTTTTTATTTAAGGAACAGTTATAATAATTATAGTAATACAACTGCTAATAATAATAATACAATATAGAATAATATACCCTGGTAAAGTCATTAAGACTGACTGGATAAAGTTGTAAAAAACAAGGAGACAACATGTCTGCTGGTTCACATATCTGTCCGTTGACGACATTTAACAAATAGAAATCCATACTTCCAGTGAAACCCTGGGGAAAGACTTTAAGGGCTGAGCTAATTTGGGATAAACTGTATGTCAATATGTATGGAAAAATTAGGCTAGCACTGACTTGATATATATATAATATGATTTAATCATATTAAATTATTGCCAACTTCTGACAAAAGACCCTGACAATAGCGATCTGTAAAACACTTAAAATAAACTGCGTGAAAGACATACGTTTTTCCATAGACTTTTTGGGGCATATCCAATCCATGTAGCCATGTCAAGATGTCTCATGAACCAGTCAAAACAATGTATTTGAATTAGTTCCTCTTTGTTTTTCTTCTTTGAAAATTATGATTGTCCACTGCCATCTTTAACAGACTAGACAATTAGCATCAGTCATCATTAGGGTGTGGCTCATGTGGACTCAAGGAAAAAGTGTTCTATCATTGACAGGAAATACATTTTTAAAAGGAAAATGAGTCCAGTATTTAGTCTAAACCTAGTGCTTCTTCAAACAGCCTTCTGGATGGGAGAAACAAAAATGAGGTAATATCTAAAAAAAGAACTATGTATGTGAGAAGAACTAGATGTATGAGCTGCAACAGTGTAAAGTAGGTGAAGTTTGCTCAACTTCAATCTAATATTAGTCTGCTAAGCTCTTCTTTTGACTTGACTTAAAGCATTACTGCCTCTGGTGGAAAAGCAGGACACGTGCACACAACGCCAACCCAGACAGTACATCTGTTGTCATCTAGTTATGGTTTAGGTCATTTGGTTAACAGAAAATCTAACATAGGTGTGAATGTTTCACGTTTCTTCTGTTCCAGGTGCTCAAGACTTTGTCCACACAGTCTGGACAAAGAAGATGGCGTCGAAAGGCAAGGTCCCATCACTTTCAACCACCGACATATGAGGAAAGCATTTAAAATCATGAACGAGCTACGCAGGTGAGAAAGTTCATTGTTCTAAAAATCCCAAAACATTGTTTCAACTTAAACGGTACTCATTCCTCCCTCTTTGTTTTTGTCTCCACGTCTGTCACATAAACACAGCCAAAATTTGTTGTGTGATGTAACCATAGTGGCAGAAGATGTAGAGATCGCTGCTCACAGAGTGGTTCTGGCTGCTGGTAGTCCCTACTTCCATGCTATGTTCACAGGTCAGAGAGCTCTTCCATCCCTGCTACACGATGACATTTTGGGCCTGTTTGTTATTTTCTTCAAATCTTGAGATTTGTTGTCCATGTGGTGGCTGAAGGCCTTTGTCTGTTTGCAAAAACAGGGGAGATGACGGAGAGCAGGGCCAAAAGAGTGAGAATAAAAGAGATGGATGGTTGGACTCTGGGTCTGCTGATAGACTACATCTATACAGCAGAGATACAGGTCACTGAGGACAACGTGCAGGTAAACACTTGGACCTTTAGGTATAACCTAAAGGTAATAACATCTACTAATATCTGAGAATTCTGGGCAGTCATATCGGGTTTTGTTAAAGGTCTTAACCATCAGCATCGTGAATACACAATATTAGTAACAGTTAGTTAGTTAACTCACAGTGTTGTACTTTAAGTATTGCTCAAACTTCTTTCATTTTTTTATTACACTGATGTGTGTGTGTTGCAGGCGTTGCTACCAGCAGCCGGCCTGCTGCAGCTGAATGAGGTGAAAAAGGCTTGTTGTGAGTTCCTGAGCTCCCAGCTTCATCCGTCCAACTGTCTGGGGATACGAGCCTTTGCTGACCTACACGCCTGTTCCCAGCTTCTCGCCCAGGCCAACAGCTACGCAGGTTTGTCGGGGTTTTTTTGTTTGTGTCTGTTTCCTTTTGCAGAAAGTTGTTGTTCGATGCACTGTGACAGAAATCTCAAACTTGGAACAGCCTGGATCCCTGCTCAGATTGTCATGTTGTTGGGCCTTAGATTTATATATATACACACATATATACACACACACTTATCTATTTATATATATATATATATTTTGTCTTTCTTAATCTTCGTTGACAGAGCAACATTTCACAGAGGTGGTTGGCAGTGAAGAGTTCCTGAACTTAGGCATGGAGCAAATTTCTAGCCTGATAGCCAGCGACAAGCTCACTATCCCCACAGAAGAAAAGGTGCTCACACAAAAAGACACAAAGACTTCCGTGCTGACAGTGTTTTGGTACCGAGCATGAATAATGTGTCTGTGTTATCATTTAGGTTTTTGAAGCAGTCGTAGCTTGGGTCAACCACGACAAAGATGTCCGTCAGGAACACCTGGCTCACCTGATGGAGCACGTACGCCTCCCTCTCCTATCCAGGGAGTATCTGGTGCAGGTATGACTGCTGTAAAAGCTATCAGCACACTGGTGCAGGTATGACTGCTGTAAAAGCATCTAACTCTGGTGCAGCTGTGGAATTAACTTAAGTAAACTTGTTGTGCTGTTGACAGGCAGGTGCAGAAACCTCAGGTTTCCAGGAATAGTTGGTTCCTTTGCTGTGGGTTTATATCCACACTCAGCACATGGAACATGGTCATCCAAACACCAAGTGACCTAATTAAATTTAATGACATTATGATAAAATACTTTGTGCAGCATCAACACCGCCTTAACTGATGCTGCAACTAAATTAAACATCAAAACGGCCTCAAGTCGCAGTCTAAATGGGTCAGGAGTTTATCTTGCTGTTGTTAAGTGAATTCTGCAGCACTTCCCTGTTGAGTTTGGAGTGCATGAACTGTACCTTAACTTATATTGCCATTTAAAATAGTCATAACAAGATTGTGTGGACTGTTAATGTAATTCGATATTTCTTCTCTGTCAAAATATTAAAATAAAAGCTGCTGTTATTTTGTGATACACGTGGGCTGCTTTGCCTTCTCTATCTGTGGGAAATATATAAGGTTAAGGTAAAAATAATCCAAGTCTACTGCTTCAAATACGAAAGTAAAAAAGTGCTAACAACCTATCAGCACGTTGTTGTCATAGTGATGACAGACCATTTGCATTTGCTGAGCAAACCAAAGCACACATGGTGAAACTTTTAATTGAACGATCGGCTCAAATAAAATTGCCCATTGTATTTCTTCTACTCTTACTTTTGCTTATGTCAGCGTGTGGAGGAGGAGTCTCTGATTAAGAACAGCAGTGCTTGTAAAGACTACCTGATAGAGGCCATGAAGTACCATCTCCTGCCCGCTGACCAGAGAGCTCTCATGAAGACTGTACGCACACGGATGAGGACTCCTGCCTGTTGTCCTAAGGTGTGAACAGAGTCAATACTCCTTTAGTGGTAGTAAACTTTGGTTGTTTTGTTGTCTTTAAAGTGCAGCTTAAAGCAAGAAAAGAAAATCACTGATCTACAGTTTGCCCTCAGTTACGTCAACATTGTTTTCTTTGGCTGATTTTCAGGTAATGGTGGTGGTTGGAGGCCAGGCTCCTAAGGCAATACGCAGTGTTGAATGTTACGATTTTGAAGAGCAGCGATGGTACCAAGTGGCTGAACTCCCGACCAGGAGGTGCAGAGCAGGTATCAGAGCCGCAATAAAGATGTTTGAGGCATGCAGCCCTTCGAAAAGGTAGTCACAGGTAGCAAACCTCACCCTCTTGTGGAGAAATTAATTAATGCACTACAAGATGGGACACATACACAAGCATAAAAAAATCCCTGCCCCCTTAAAACTTTGCATCAAGGGGTCAAGATCTTAAGAAGACAGTAACAATACTGGGCCACTGTACTTACTATACTATCTCCTCTGTGTATGTTCCAGGTGTAGTATATGTGGGAGGTTGTGTGTATGCAGTCGGGGGTTTCAATGGTTCTCTGCGTGTAAGGACAGTGGACTGCTATGATCCAATGATGGACCGATGGACCAGTGTGAGCAGCATGCAGGACAGGAGGTCAACACTTGGCGCTGCTGTGCTCAATGGACTCCTTTATGCTGTGGGAGGCTTTGACGGCAGCACAGGTACAGTTATAACGTGTATATACTGTATATACACAGTATATATATAAAATGTAGTTGTTTTTGGTGTTTCCAACATATTCTCTCCTCTGGCAGGTTTATCAACAATCGAAGCGTACAATGCTAAGACCGACGAATGGTTCCATGTGTTACCCATGAGTACCCGCCGGAGTAGTGTAGGTGTGGGTGTTGTAAATGGTAATTATCATACACTTTGTTTTTACAGTTATCATTGATAACGCTACGGTAAAATGCCAAGAGGGCTGTTTGGTTGGTGTAGTTTCTGTTATTTTATAGACTTACACCATGGAAATAAGCTACTTTGTACAGTCACAAAGGGATGCTACAATGTCAACAACAATTGTTAAATGTATTAACAATTACTGTGCATTATTTTGTCCACAGCTGCCTCTTGTCTGTGTGGACACTAACACCTATGTGTGCTTCCCAGGAATTCTTTATGCTGTTGGTGGTTATGATGGAGCCACCAGACAATGTCTAAGTACAGTGGAGGCTTACAACCCAAAAAGTAACACGTGGAACTACATTTCTGAGATGGGCACAAGACGCAGTGGAGCAGGTGAGTGACATTGTGTATGTTGGTGAGTTAACCTGTTACTGTAACTCTCATTTGACTCATGTGCCGATGGCTTTGTGGTGGTATCATGATTAACTCTTTTTTTGACTTATTGTCATACAAGAACATGTTGTGAAATAATAATCAATAGCCTTGTTCTCTAAACATAAGTTTCAATGTCCTCAGGTGTGGGTGTGTTGAAAGGTTTACTCTATGCTGTGGGGGGACACGATGGTCCGTTAGTGAGGAAGAGCTGTGAGGTTTATGATCCAGCCTCAAACAGCTGGCGACAAGTAGCTGACATGAACATGTGTCGTCGCAACGCAGGTAGGTCACGGACAGTGTCCAGAAAATGTTCGGCAGCGATGACTGTTCAATGTCCTTTAAACTGTGTGTGTGTGTGTTTTCAGGTGTTTGTGCGGTGAACAATGTGTTGTATGTGGTGGGAGGGGACGATGGCAGCTGTAACTTGGCTTCTGTGGAGTTTTATAATCCAAACTCGGACAAATGGACACTGCTGCCGACCTGCATGAGCACAGGGCGTAGCTACGCAGGTCTGAAGTCATCATTCATTTTTCCTGAATGCCCCCTCATGTCATGTCTGCTTTTATTGAGGCCGGGGTCTGGCACTACTCTATACATTGAACTATAGATTGATAGATATACTTCATAGATCCCAAGCTGAGAAATGACAGACTACTGGAATATTAGTTGCTTTCATCAAAAATGCATTGTAAAGAGAAAAAAAATTTAAAAGAAAATTTGAATTTTCATCTGTACAGTATGTGGTGTCATTACTGATTACTGATATTTTTCTTTTTTCCTAACAGGTGTGACTGTGATTGACAAGCCTCTATGACTGTTTCTGACACATGCCACTGATTGATACAGAATGTATTCTCCTAATACTCATCTTGGATCGATTTATGATGCCAATGCTTCGATGTTCAGGCAGCATTAGCACAGGCACTGAGACGGTTCAAGAAAATCACAAGGTTGTTGATGCCGAAGATGACAATGAAGATTTTTGCACACACCTTGGCAAGCAGGGAGAGAGGGCACGTGTGTTTCAATCCCCTGCTGTCGGGACTGCAGCAGCGAGTGGACATTTCAGTTTGAAACACCACTGTACCAATGTAGTGCCATTGAAATGGTACTGAAATGAAGCTACTGTAACTGCAAAGGACCTTTGACATTGCTCAAGTTAACAGGAACCAGCTCTAAGAAAGACCACTGACTTAATCTATGGGGGAGGAAAGCTGAGAATGTTTATTCTGGACTAAAACATGGTTTTTCTTTTGTTTTTATCCTCTTTATAAGTGTGTGTGTATGTGTTGAGTGTGTGTGCTTGCATTTAAAAGGTGCTCCATTGCTTGCATATGTGATATTTAAACATATGTGTTTGTTTGCATCTGAGTCTCTTGTGTGGTGACACCAGAACCAATGCCGCATGAGCACAAGTTGTCTGACCTCTTGACCTTTGCAGTTTTGCAGTATTGTTTCTCAAGAGTGCCTGAATGTCATGTTTGGAGCCCTTCTCTTATGCCTTGAGTACTGTCACTGGACAGAGCACAGCTGGACGCGAGATAGAGAAAAGTGATGTAAGTGTTGAGTTGCATTAATTTGCATGAATTCAGACCAGCTTTGTTAAAAGTGGTTGCAGAAAATGTCTTTTTCTTTTTTTTATTTAAGAATGAAGGACTATTATTGGGATGCCATCTCTACTGGTTAAGAAGTTGCCTTGTTCCATTTTGCCAAACACAGTGACAAAGGGAGGAGCTAGTAAGATATGAAGAACAGTTGGCTGCATTAGTGCTTCACTGTCACGTGGCAGCGGTCTTTACTGTGGTTGTAACCACTAATGACAACAAAAGCCTGAAGTCACTGCATGATCCCAATCTGGAACATCTTTATCTCCAACTGTCTCTAAATCACTCTACTGATCTGTTATCTCTCTCTGTAAAGTGACCAAATGTATTTGTGATTTTCTTTTTATTCTCTTCCTTCTCCTTCCTTTGTTAAAAATACTATAACAGTAACTGATATTGCTGTTTCCTGTCAGTGTATTGAGGAATGTCATGTAGGCTAATGACTTTGATAAGATCATTACCTGTTTTATATTATAATTAATAAATATGCTTCTTGTATTTAAAGCTGTGAAAAAACACTATCTGTTTTTAAAACATTGCCAAATCAGTAAAACATTGAAATGGAAATTGTTTGTGACTGTCTTCATTCAATTTGTTCGTAAATCATTTATCACAACATGAAAGAACTTCTTTCTTAAGTTCCTGCCAAAATATGCTTTATACAGTATGCATGTAGGCTATATTGGTGTCATTTGCTTTTTTTTTTTTTTTTAAGTTAATAGTTTTCAATGGTCAAATAATTTGCTATAGGTCAATATAATTCTGGGGATTTTAATGAACTTTTTTTTTCCTTTAGTAGGTAATAAAACACTTTACTGAAGCAAAACACATTCACTTTTTATATACCCAGTATAAACCTAACCAATCAAAATTAACAAACTTTAGATTTTCAAGTAAAATGAAGATGAAGGACTTTCTAAAGTCACCGCCCCATTTCTTCCCTCAAACACTCCATCTAACGCCGCTAACGTTATGAAAACAAAGCTGGCCTCTGACTGGCTGTCGCTATAGAAGTGTTCGTCTCACTATCATCACTCCATTCCGCTGACCAATCAGACAGAATGCTCGGCCCTCTGACGTAGACCTCCTCTCCCGTTTGACCAATCAGGTCGCTCAATGTCACTGTACATTACCCGGCTTCCGGCTCCTCTACAGGTAGAGACTGCACGTCCCGCAGGAAGGTGAGTGAAAAATATAACACTTAGTCTGATTAACTTTTGTAAATGTATATATATGTCATGTTAATATACTCGACACTTTTCTTAATGTTAAAACTTAATATTTTGTTAAATGTAAAAATCAAATGTTAATGCAGAGAGTTCGTTTTTTAGGAATAATTCCTCAGGTTATATGTACCGCTAATGTTGGCACAGTCATTAATTAATAAGCACGTAATTAAGACAAGTGCATGTATTATTAACCTGAATGTACGTTAGTACGTTAGTTACATAATTTGTTTATATTGAAGGAACACAGTGTTCGCTTGGACAATAACGGACAGTTAGTACAACATGTTACAGTCCCTAACTATTCTGCTACAGAATACTTAACAACATCGTTAAAGGGTGTTTACCAAATACGTGTTATCAGGTTCTGGTGGTCAAAATATTGTGCTGGATCAGGGCAACAGTTTGGTCGAATAATAGTTTTGAATTATGTAAAGGTTTTGTCGTCAGGGGACCAAATTTTGCGATTTGCTTGTACATGAATATGAAAACTAACTTTGTTGATTTTACTTTTAAATGGGCTGGGTAGAGTTTTGCATTTCATAGACCGAATCAGGAACCTAGTGATTGTAAAAACAAAAGTTTTTTCAATATTAGGTGTATATTTTTAACTTGAGTTTTTAATATTGAGTCGTCAATTTCTTTTAGTTATTACACTGCAGAGCCAAGATAAATTACAGATTTGAGAAAAACGATGACCATCTAGGCAAATGTTCAGTATTTTGTTGTGTTCCAGTGCATTTTGTAATTGATTTTTAAACTTTTAGTTTGTTTAGTCCCCAGTGACCTTTACTTATCATACTTGACTTGACTGACGTAATTATTCCACTCAGTCAGGACCGGGCACTGATTTCAAACCAACTACTGCTAGAAGTACAAAGAACTACGTATGAACATAGCACCGATCGGACATTTTCTACTGCTGCTCCCAGTCTTTGTACACGTCCCCCTGACATCTGCAACAGTGTTGTGATATTTTATGTCTTTTTTTATTTTTCATATTGGCTCTGTCATATCTTTCTATTGTGATAATGTTGCAGTACACATTTATTTTATTACTATTCAGTTATCATCTTGACTGACTTTTGATATTCACTTTTGAGTGGTTCAAATGGGCTGTAGAAATTAATTTTCATTGACTGATTGATGGAGTAGGATGACTTTAATGTACACCACACACACTCTGTTTTGCTTTTCCAGTCATCTCTCTGGACCTTGAGACCTTCCACTGTGTACATAATGGAGGCGAATGGCACAACACACATCTTGAGCTCTGCCTTCCTTGCGGTTGAGTACCTCGATGCGGCCTTACCCCAAAACCCCCTCCAGCCTTCACTGGAACAAGCATGGAGTTACATGCTTGACAACTACACAAAGTTTCAGATCGCCACCTGGGGGTCACTCATCGTCCATGAGTTCATCTACTTTCTCTTCTGCCTGCCTGGTTTCATCTTCCAGTTTTTGCCATTCATGCAAAAATACAAGATCCAAGCGGTTTGTACTGGCTTTGTTTTCTTGTTGAATGTTAATCTATTTTCAGCTGTGTTAAGTCGTTCTAAAAGAGTGTTCATTGTGTGCACTGCAGGACAAGCCTGAGACCTGGGAGAAGCAGTGGAGATGTTTTAAGATGCTGCTCTTTAACCACTTCTGTATCCAGCTACCATTAATCTGTGGGACTTACTACTTCACTGAATTCTTCAGCATCCCCTACGACTGGGACTCTATGCCACGCTGGTCAGTCTGATACTGGTCATGAACACACACGTTTACAGTTGTAATTGATTCACAGTTTACTTAGCCAGTGTGAAACTGGGTCTTTTAAAAGGAATACATATGTAAAAAACACTTAGGAGTTAAAGAAACACACAAACAAAATCTTCCTCTACGCATCCGAATTGCTCTGTCTTTTTATTTTTTTCTAACCATTTGTGACCATCTAGTGGAAGAGTATTTCATTGTTCTGCCTGTCACTGTCATAGACAAACAAAGACAAATGATTTGCTGTAAATGGATGATTCTTTTCAGACCATTTTAGAGAAATATGATAGTTTTCCACAGCAGACCCAATGGTCTCACTGCACAGTGGTTAGGAATCACTGCACTATAACATGTACTTTAGTTTAGTATTAGTCGTGTAAACGTACTGAATACATTTTCCTAATGTAAATAACAGTTTTCTTTTCCTCTCTGCTCATTTCTTCAGGCCATTCCTCCTGGCTCAGTGTTTTGGTTGTGCTGTGGTTGAAGACACCTGGCACTACTTTCTCCATCGTCTACTGCATCACCGCAGGATCTACAAATACATCCACAAAGTCCACCACGAGTTTACAGTAAGTCACTCTTTGAACTATTAATGACAACCTAACATTGCGGTGCCTCGTCCTTGATCTAATAAGCCAGTCCTTGTTTTTGTCAGGCTCCATTCGGTATGCAGGCAGAATATGCACACCCTGCTGAGACCCTTATCCTGGGAGCTGGCTTCTTCATTGGAATCATGATCTTCTGTAACCACGTGTTTTTCCTCTGGGCCTGGGTGGCTTTCCGTCTTCTGGAAACAATTGATGTTCACAGGTAGGATAGTATAACATACTGTCGTCTGGCTGATGTCATTAAAGGTAAAGGGCAGATTAAAGGTATTTTATCCAAATTTAAAATTTGGGCATGATTTTTTGATCTGCACATTTTTGAGAAGAAAATATATTCTGACATTAACCACTAGAGGGGGTCAAAGTATACCAAATGCTACCGTCATTGTTCTATCTGTGACAGTACAGTAAAGTAACATATCTGTGTTTGCTTTTTTTCCTCCCTCTCTCTTCATCAGTGGGTATGAGATCCCTCTGAATCCTCTTCACCTGATCCCATTCTATGCTGGCGCTCGTTTCCATGACTTTCACCACATGAACTTTGTGGGTAACTACGCCTCAACCTTCACCTGGTGGGACAAACTGCTGAAGACTGACAACCAGTACAACAAACACATGCTGAAAATAGAACTCAATAAGGAGCAGTAAACAACTGTGGTCACACCTCAGTTTTTCAGGAGGCAGTAAATGGTTTTTCTAAAAATATGTGCTGCATTCGTACACAAATGCATTTGTACACAAGTCCACAAATTTACAGAGTAAATATGGACATTAAAAAAAGAATCAGCTTCACTGTGACTCTGGATCAGGCTCTATGTTGCACTGCTGTGTCTCTCTGCAGAAGAAGTGTTGTTGTACAGTAGGCTTCTGTCAGCAGCTAGATCCTGATTCAAGTCAGAGTTGTTTCTCTGACTTGTAAAACACTTAAACCCAACCAGCACTTCCTCCTGAGTCATGCTGGTCTATAAGCCACAGTTCACAAGGAACTTGTGTGAACTTAGAGAAATGAATACTGCAAGTCAACACGTTTGATGAAAATAAAAAAATAATAAATTAAAAAGGGATTGTCTGAGAGATTTTGAGTATTATTTTTATATTGTAAAGACATTTAAATGCTGTTGTAACTTTTGACTTTTTATTGTAATTTCAGAAAAAAAGTGATCTGTTTTCTTAAAAATTCAAATAAACTTTTCATTCTTGACACTTCTTTAATATGATCTGTCTTTAAAGTGCACAAAAACAGTATGGTAGTTATAGCAACAGTCTATGTATATGGACCTGTGACGAACTGCTGATTCTGCATATAACCCTTAATAAATCTTTAATATTAGATAAAATGAATAACTGTAATAGTTGAGTGACAGTGACAGTAACAAAAGCTGTGTTATCCTTGTTCATGATTTGACTTTATTTTAGACTGATGACACAATACCTTTAACACAGTCTTTCTAACCCTAAACACTTAGATTTAGTCTTGATAAAATAAATCTTAATATACTCCTGTAGGGCATGATGAATTGTGGCTACTCATTCCTCTAAAGACATACAGACTCATGTCAGTTGAACAATCACACCACAGGCACAGACCAACAGTGCTTTACGAGCTCATTAACTGCTCAACTGACATTTTGTTCTCTATTTGAAGGCAGAGAATTTCCCAGTTAACATGATCAGAAATACTGTGTCTGCTACATTTATTCTGTTGAGTGCATTTGTTTAAAACCGGGATTATTTTAGATAAAAAAAAGATTACATCGTAATACGACGGAATGGACTCTCATTGTGCTTTTATTTTGAAAATAACGAACGGAAATGTGAATGGTGCTCCACTTTAACAAGGCGCTTGAGGGAGACAGTGAGTCTGTGCTCAGGTACAGTAGCGCATCGCGGAGAGGAAGAGAGGGAGTGGTATTTATAGCCCAGAGCCAGGCTGCAGCAGATAAGGCTGGGAGCCAAGTCGAAGGCAGACAGGATTAGGGAGAGAAGCAGGACACGACAAAATGAAGCAGTTGATGTCGGTCGTTTTATTAGGGGCCGCAGCGGTCGCCTTGGTCGGTGCTGTTGGAACAGATAGCGGGATCTCCTTTGAGTACCACCGCTATGAAGAGATGCGGAAAGCACTGGTGTCCGTGTGGCTGCAGTGTCCTACCATCAGCCGCATCTACACCATCGGAGAGAGCTTTGAGGGCCGGGAGCTTCTGGTGCTGGAGATGTCCGACAACCCCGGGACGCACGAGCCAGGTCAGTTTTTACGCACAAGCCCTGCAGTTCTCCCACATCACTGTTCTTAACGCGCACAGATGACACTACTTTATTATGGACAAGAACGCACGGAGGCAGTGAGGTAATGCGGTAAGACTCGGCGATCCTCACAGGGAGGCGGTGGAAGAGGAGGTGGGGTAGGGGGATAGAGGAGCGCAGGTGCGGTGCAGTGCGCCTCATCACTTCAGCGAAAGCTGGATGAGAAGAGTGCGTGTTATCAGATGCGCAAATCCGCCATTTTGCTGGTAAAAAGGAGTCTTTTCTTTGGGATTCAGATATCATTTCCCAGAGGACGGCTGTGTGGTGTGATCCCTATGGTTGTAGATGGAGATACAACAGTGGTGTTGGCTGCATCCAATCACCGCAGAGGAAGAAGTGCTGGCTTCATATTACATGTAGCTGCTGGTGGCAGTAGATGTTGATTTCTGTCTTTTTTTGGTGTCACAATACCACGGTAAAAGACTTCAGCTGTAAAAGCTGAACTTCAATGTTGGATGATTTAAATATATATAGCATTAAAATGAATGAACAATTATGCATTTGTGTGAAGCCTCCCAAAACACATTAAATGAAGTGAGTTGTATTTCATTTTAAAATGATTTTTGGATCATCACAACCTACATTATCAAGGTAAATCAATAATTATATATCTTGTATTAGAGGGTCAGAGATAAACATTTGAGGATGGACATCCAAAGATCACTATTCTCTACATAATGTGATTACCTCACTCCTAAAACTGGACCTTTACAAAATCTAATTATTTTAATTGGTCCCTTTGATAGTTTCTAGCTTTGTCCCGTATGCAGTTATCATATAGAACGCCAAGAAAAAATAAAATAAAATTTAAGGGCACACTGTGGAGGACTGGTTAGAGCTCAGCAAGATCTTAAGGCCGAGTCTCTGTAACTGATGACTTGTCTGTATAAAGAGGAAGGAGGAGAGGAAAAAGATTGTACGATTCATTGTACATCTACAGACACAACAAAATGTGTTCTCTGCATGTCACCCATCAACCCATTCCTGGGGACCAGTGATCACATTTGAGGTGGCCAGGGATCAAGGGAAGTGATGTCTGTTCAACACATCACAGGTGGCCAAGGTGGGATTCAAACCTGCGTCTGTGCAGCTACTCTGGTTTCCTACAACAGTCCAGAAACATGAACGAAAACCTCTACAATGAGCGCAGGCTTGTGGCCTTGTGATGGAGTGTACTCCACCCTGCTGTCACTTTTCAGATGAACCCTAATGGATGTCCAGCAGCAGGTGGCGTCGGTCCATCACATGACAAGAGGGATTTATTTTTGAATGACGACAATCCTTAGCAAACCTCTAACAATAACAACACCGTCTTGTCTGTAATTTATGCTAACAGAGTCTTGTGTGTAGTGTGTGTCTCCAACTGTACGCTCACCTAACATTCACATGCAAAGATGTGGATATCTCCATCTCCTGGTGTGTGTGTGTTTGAGGCTGACTTGCTCATGGGGCCTAATGACCGTGCCTACGTAACTAAGCCTGTAATAGTGTGGTGGGCGTGCACTGGCATGAGTCACAGTAGCGACGTGTTCTTATTACTACCAGATGAGGTTTAAAGCCACTGTTTCACCACTGGAGGAAGCGTGCACCCCCTCCCCCCACTACATCTTTGCTGAGCAAAACAACCACAGCGAGAAGGAGGGGGGACTGATAGGAAAGCACGAGAGAGAGAGAGAAGGAAGAAAGGGATTATGGTTAACGCTGGGAGTTCAAATCCAGAGATGAATGTTTTCAGTGTCACGACAGAATAAAACCTGCAGACGACGCGTCTTCTCTGAGCCTTCCTTTGAGAAGCCCTGTGTAATATTTGATCAGAGTCTGCTGCAGTGTTTGGGAGCTCTTAGGTGGAGCCAAAATAGTTGTTGCTGGGGTAACAGATTAGCTTAGTGCACTGAGCTGACTGGCGGCCTGTGGTTGGCTGACCGGCTCCTGAATGCGATGCTTCTGAATACAGGCATCTATCCATAAGCCACCATCTGTCATCCACTGCGGCATACGTAGAACAGCCTAAAGTGAAGAGTCTAAACAAGAAGTACACTTACAGGTGCTGGACAGATTTTTACAGTGTGTAAACATGTACACAGAATTTCAATTTGAAGGTCTGTTGGACTGGGCTCTTTAACAGGACGACTTCCTGTCTTCCTATTTTCGCTATCCCATAAGTCTCTCTTATTCTCATGGCATTGGGCTGTTTCCACGTAACCTGTTAGCAAGTTAACTAGCTGACGTGGATGCTACCTATTGTGATCAGGGTACTATTTTAGTCTCTTTTGTGCAAGTTGTTGTTAATGCTGTAAAAGATTAAAGATTATATACAAGAAGCAGCGCACACTTATGTACGTTTGAAAATAAATTAAAGAAACTAAAATTAAAAAAATTGTTTGTCATGTACAAAATAATCACTTGAAAAAACGTAGTTGTCTTTCAATGAAAAATGACCAAAATTACCACAACCAATGCAGATCATAAACACGTGACATGTACTGTAGGTCCATAGAAGCAGCCTGTGCACAATGATGACAGTGAGAAGAGGGATTCCTCTTTCAGCCTCTCGTGTCTGGAAGTACTTGTACTGTTTTGATTTTTTTCTAAGAGAAACTCTATATCTTTTACAATAGATTTCTTGATGTTGGAAGATCTAATAGACTGCAGACTTTCTCATGCAGCGGGGACTGAAACAAGACTCCTACTGGAATATAAAGTCCACTGTGATAAAGTTTATGATCACAAAAACAGACGTTCAGTTTGATACGTTAGCTATAAATATTATAATAAACATATGGTTTGTAAAATTGACCTAAATGAAAAGGTTTTTCTGTAAGATAAAAGAAAATGGAGAAGAATTGAGAGTTGATGCAGTGGAGTCCAGAGAGCTGGATGGATGACAAGAAAAAAAAAAAAGGATGATTGAAAAACCAGATAATGTCCAAAAGTGTGAGGGTGATGAAAGTTGAAAAAGGTGGGTGTAGGAATGTAGGAGGAGTCAGTGGGGGACGGCAGGGCTCACACTGTAGATAGAGAAACAGGATGAGTGAAAGGCCAACTCATCAGCCAGAGGTCATCTATAATAGACAGGTAGACAGCGTCAGGCGTCCTCACTCACTACGTGACATCCGTCTCTGACACTCCTCTCTATCATGTCCAAACAGAAAATGGACAGAAAGGCAAGGGTTTTCATCAGCTTCAGAGAACATATGACTGGAATGTCTTTAAGCTAATCAGTGACCAGTGGGTCTATTCTAAAACATATTGCCTTTTAATTGTGCCTTTTAGTCTTTTTTGTATTCATTATGCTGTGTTAAATGTGCTGTAAATAAAATTGGATTTGACTGAAGTAGCCTCTCGTATGTCACATAAAAATGTCATGGTCAAATATCTTCTCAGACATCAATAGTTTTAGAAACATCTGTATTTTCCATGATGAATTTGACAGTCAACAGGATATGGTCACATGATCAAGTTACTGCCACTTGGCATTACTTTTGTGGTGTTACTGAGATAACATTATCGAAACTAAAACTCTCTCTGTATTATTATTTTTTTTATCAACATTAGCAGTTGTTTTTTTTACATTTATCACATTATAATGTTATGTTATGTCCTGAGACGTCAGGAAGTGGGCAGGACCACAAGGGAGACTCTCTTCAGGTGCAGGATGTTTATTCACAAAGTGCAAAAATCACAAAAGTCACTGGGGCGCAGGAAGACAAGGCATGGACAAATAAGCATGACCAACTAGGCAGCAGCAACAACTAGGCAGCAGCAACAAACACATGAACACAGAATGATCAAGCAGCCCAGAGTGAGGGGGCGGCAGCAGCAGCAGCAGCAACAAACAACACATGATCACAGAATGATCAAGCAGCACAGAGTGAGGGGCAGAGGTATATATACCCAGGACACCAGGTGACACCAGTGAGACTGATGACAGACACAGGTGAGGGTGATCACACTAATCAACTGAACCAGGCAGGAGGGAAAAGGAGACCTCGCAATAATGAATTTATGATGCTTTAAATCAGGGGTGTCAAACATATGGCTCGCTGCGGTGTTTATTACGGCCCACTTGATTAATTTTAAAAATTGAAGAAAAAAAAAACACAAACACTTCATGTTCAGGATATATTTGTAAATTTATATTTCATTAAATATGAATAAATAATGTTTTATATACATCTTTGCATGAAAAAAGGGGGAAAACATGGACTTATTGTTATTTATCCTTAATGATAGAAGCTCACCTCTAACTATGTTGTGTGCGGCCCGTGAACCTAAATGACTTTGACAGCCTTGTTTTAAATGATCTAACTTCCTGTAACAAGCCCTAAGTGGGACTTGTGTATAAAAGACAGACTCACACAGGCCTTTTGGAAGACAAATATGTAAAGTATGTCTTTTATAATTTGGTGCAACCTAGTGTCGATCTTTCATTTATAAAATGTTGAGCTACTATGTGCACCATAAGGCTCGGTGTCATCTCCAGATTTGTCTCCAGATGCATTCATTTTTCCACTGTGACTCAGTGAGAAATCATGCTAATTCAACACGGAGGTCGATGTGGAGTGTTATATTCTGTTTTTTTAGTGTGGGTTCAAAAGCATCCGTACCGTGACACTGATATCGTTTTCAACAGTCTGTCTAAATAAATGAGTCACTGCGATGTCCTCAGAACAACTGTGCAAAGCTGATCAGGCAGAATGAGAACAGGCAAAGACAAAGAGACAGAGTGTATTCACGCAACCTCCGGATATTTTCTGCCCTTTGTTCACCTGCCCCAACAAGGTTGCCATGACGACTGAGAATCCTTTAATGTGGCGATTCCTCACATGACGTGGCAGCTGCAGTCATCATGACACGGTTGTCTCGGAAACTGTATCGATCACCTGTCACCCATTTCAAATGATTGATGATGAAGTCAAATGAATGGAATGAATGTCAGAGTAGAGCGTACCATGAATACACGCGTTAATAAAACGTCAAAACTGTATCGATATTATATACAGTATAATAGATATCACTATGTATTTAAAAATAATGACAGTCATTCCTTGGCGTTACGCTGCATGCAATGTGTAGTACCGTACCTCGGCTGCTGTGATGTAATAACGTAGTAGTATTCAACGGTGAACTGCTAACTACAGTTTGTCTTTGTATATCAACACTTGCGAGTGTATAAAATGTCAACAGTTTTTTGTTGCGTCCCTAACGCAGTGGCAAAAGACCAAGAAACGGAGGAAAGTCAGGTCTGTTGAAAAGCTTTGGATTTTTGTAACTCACTTTGGTGGAGTCCACCTTCAAAGCATGTGTACACGGCACATGCACGTGTGTCAGTGTGTGTGCGTGTGTGAAACTGTTAGTGAAAGAGCGGCCAGTGTTCCGATGCCTGTAAAAAACATTCACGTCCGGATAAAAAAAAGTTAATTGTAGTCTTGAACTCATTAGTGGCATGGGATTTAAAAATAGCCTGACTGCCAGATGTCCACATGAGTGTGTGTGCCTCTGTGAGTGTGTATTTATGTGTGTTTGTGTGTGTGTGTGCTGCTCATGAGGCAAGTGCAATTACTTTGTGAATCATTTACCTGAAAGCAAATGCTTAAGTTTGGAGATGTACGCACAGGAATGTTATCACTCTGACCTCATGGAAACATTCTGATTTCACTGTGAACTCACATCAGAGGAAACCCACTCCCAGTAACCTTCCTCCTCCAAGACTGGCTTCTAAGTGTGGTTTGGTTAGTGACACCTTTCACAGTTCCAGTTCCAGCCCCGAGAAAAAGCCTGAAACAATGTAATGGTGCAATAATAGTATAGAACTGGGGTATTTTCTGGACTATAAGTCGCTCTGAATTATAAGTCATACCAGTGCCCTCTAGCGGCTGTCAGTGTGAAAATAACGAACATGTAAAATTATATATTTTAATATAGAAGTCGCACCTGAATTTAAGTTGCAAATGCAGCCAAAGGATTAACAAAGTGCGAGTTAAAGTCCAGAAAATACGTTAAATACAAATTATAGAATTGTTAATATGTAAAAATGACTAAGAATGAACCTGACTTATTTCGTGTCGTGTGCTCCGGGGGGCTGGTCTGACGCAGTGTGTACAAAATAATGAGGTGTGTAACGACTGTGTATCGATAAATGAATGGACAGTTGCATTGCAGGATATGTGGTCTATGAAGATTCTCAGTCATCCAGGTCAGGGTCAAGGTTGAAGAGTTCTGTTACTGTTAGGTTACTGGACGTGAACTTTTCTCAGAGAAGACGTTTCGAGGCTTCTTCAGTTCTAACTGGTGGCCCACGTTTGGCCTACGGGTCTTGAGGGCAACTGATAAGCCACAAGAAACAAACACTCACTGAGTTTGTCCCTCAAGGTTCTTAATTTTGTCTCTGTGTGCAAAGTGATTGAGACTAATCTTATTCTCCACTCCAACAAGATTCTAACACAACACTCCACAGCAGCTACACCCAGTAATCGATGACGATCCAAATGAAGTCCTGGGCTGTAATGAGACAGTAGGTTCACGCTTCCCTGTGATGAGTCACGGTGTGTGTTTGTCACTGCTGCCGTGTGGAGGTCAGAGTGACGGACAGTCCACACTGTATCAGTGTCCAGGCTAAATGAGATTTCTTTATCAGTGAAATTCTGTTTATACAGAAGAGATGAAGGAAATGTTGTGTCCGTAGCAACAGTGAGTGACAATGTCTTGACGTGACCTTTCTCTTCATTCATAATAACAATGGTTGACGTCATTGGTCCATCAATGGTTTACCTCCAAACCTCAGAGAACCCTGTCATATAATGGCCTCCAAAATGCACCAAACCACCAGACTAAAGTCCATTTGGATGACAGGTATTTAATAACAATTTGTTTCAAAAATTAGTGTTCAGTATTTGCTAAATTTAACAATAACCATCTGTCCTTTTTTGTCTAGAGTCATAACTTTCAAGATATTGTTTTTTTCACATAACAATTTCTGTATTATTTCTGAAAAGTGTAGTGAGTGTAATATGTAGTACTGGCAGAAGTGGGTAGAGGAGCCAAAAATTGTACTCAAGTAAAAGTACTGTTACTTCGGTATTCAATATTATTACTCAAGTAGAAGTAGAAAAGTAATCAACCAAATAATAATTACTTGAGTAAGAGTAAAAAAGTACTTGGTGAAAAACTACTCAAGTACTGAGTAACTGTAACGTAACATCTGATTTATTTTTTAATATCCGTTTGTTTTGGTAGACAGAAGACACGGAACTGCTGTTTCGCACCGTTTGTTTACCACTTGGTCATCAACTCAGTTACAAAATAAGTTTGTGTTACAAAAGACCTAAGAGTAATAATTGTGACCACCAAACATCCGTTGCAAAGTTGGGAGGATGGCAGTAAAACCACAAACCTCTGCTTGTTCTTCCAGGTGAACCAGAATTTAAGTACATCGCCAACATGCACGGCAACGAGGCGGTGGGCAGAGAGCTGCTGATCTACCTGGCCCAGTACCTGTGTACTCAGTACCAGCAGGGCAATGAGACCATTATGGACCTCATCCACAACACTCGTATCCACATCATGCCGTCCATGAACCCCGACGGCTTTGAAAAAGCTGCTTCACAGGTAACCGAAGCCACTGTACGTGCACCTTCAAAGAAACACTAACGTTCAGGAACCAAGACGTGGGACTGATTTTTCTTTTCTGTCTGCTGTTCAGCCTGGGGAGATCAAGGACTGGTTTGTGGGCCGCAGCAATGCGCAGGGTGTGGATCTGAACCGTAACTTCCCAGATCTGGATCGCATTGTATACATCAATGAGAGGGAGGGTGGAGCCAACAACCATCTGCTGCAGAACATGAAGAAGGCTGTGGATGAAAACACCAAGGTACGTGAAGAAAAACACACCAGCAGAATCCAAGCTTCGGCTGATGATCATTTGCTTTTTTTTCGTAGTAGCATCCGCTGAGCCAGCTGTTGTTGGGTTTGACGTAAGATACACATTTCTCCGAATTAAAGCTGCTCAAAGCTGCCTCTCTGCAGCCCTTCCACCTAGACACAATTTGTTGAGTAGTTCTGTGTCACAGTGTTCAGATAAATCCAGTTTCATTCTTAGTGTGAGGGATTTTTTTAATGCATTTCATTGGCAGCAGGACAGAACGATAGAATTTCACTGAACAAGTCTGTCCAACATTCAATAACACATCTGGTGTGCGTGAGTGTGAAAGTAGTAACGCTGTAATACTGAAGTGGGTTCCACTTGCTTGCATGTGTTTTTCATGTATTTGTGTTTTATGATGTTTCGCTCTGCAGCTGGCTCCGGAGACAAAGGCAGTGATTCACTGGATCATGGACATCCCGTTTGTCCTCTCAGCTAACCTGCATGGAGGAGACGTGGTGGCCAACTACCCATATGACGAGACCCGCACTGGTACTTACGCAAGTTCTCTGGTTTTGGGTTTATTAACTAAAGTATTTATTTTTATTTGAATTAAATATAATTTATTTTAGCGACTTGTACTTACTACTTAGTTAATACTACATTAGCTGACTATTGTGTACTTATTGTTTTTTTCCCTCCTCTTTGTCCTACAAGGATCCACCCATGAATACAGCGCCTGCCCAGATAACGTGATGTTCAAGTCTCTGGCCAGGGCCTACTCCATGTACAACCCAGTCATGTCTGACCCTCACCGACTCCCCTGCCGTAAGAATGACGATGACTCCAGCTTCACAGACGGCATCACTAATGGAGGAGCTTGGTACAGTGTACCAGGAGGTGAGAGGTTTTTTTAAAAAAACTATTTAGTGCCATCTGTCGGCCAATACAGGTATCTGTTATATAATATAAAAGCTTAGTGAAAGGAGACGTTGTTGTTGTTTTGCCTGCAAACAGTGCTCTAGGTCAATACTCCCCCTTGTGGGAAAACATAAGTAATACATTAGTAGTATTAGTAGTAGTAGTTAGTAACACACACACACACACTAGACGTCCAGCTGTGAAAAATAAAATAAATCCACAAAACAACCTTCCCTAACATTTGGTTACTTCATACACATGTATTTCCTCCATTTGTTGACAGGAATGCAGGACTTTAACTATCTCAGCAGCAACTGCTTTGAGATCACCTTGGAGCTGAGCTGTGATAAGTTCCCCACCGAGGACACGCTCAAGAACTACTGGGACCAAAACCGCAATTCTCTTATCAGCTACATTGAGCAGGTAGGCAGGAGACTGACATTGGATTGGACGCTTCTCCCATAAAGAAAAGCAAGTTATTTGCTTGATGAAATTAAATTTAAATTTAAAACTTGTGTATTTTTAATAATTTTGTTTAAATAAAATCACTATAGAGGAAAATCTGAAACTATAACCACAGGATCCTATAAAAAAATGTTTCGTAGCCTTACAGATTAAGGAAGAATCAGATCCTTTTATGTTGACTCAACTATCAAACATGACCTTTGAAACTGTAAGAACAATCCTCGTGGTCTTCTTCAGGCTGCCACTGAGTCAATGGTAAACAAACAGTTACTAGATTTAGTATTCCATTTTTGTCTTTTTATCGTGTTTGTTGTTCGTAGGTTCATCGTGGCGTCAAAGGCTTTGTGCGTGACCTCCAGGGCAACCCCATTTCCAATGCAACCATTTCAGTGGAGGGGATTAACCATGACATCACAACAGGTATCAGTTTTGTCACCTTACGAACTTCTTCCTCGATTAATGTCACGATATGTATGTAATGTATGTATGTTTTTTTTTTTTCAGCCAAAGATGGAGATTACTGGCGCCTGCTGGCTCCAGGAAACTACAAGGTTGCTGCATCTGCTCCAGGATATCTGACTGTCATCAAGAAGGTTGCTGTTCCTTACAGCCCCGCAACCAGGGTAGGAATACGAGACGGATACAGAGAGCAACGTGCTGTACTTTTGTTTACAAAATAGAATTTCACACTGTTGCCTTTACACTTTGAGTGTATTTACTAGGCCTATCAAACAATTACTATTAGTATTTTCCAGACTATAAGTCGCACAGTTTTTTCATTTTTTGGCTGGTTTTGCGACTTATACTCAGGTGCGACTTATATATCAAAATATATAAATTACATTATACTCAGGTGCGACTTATATATCAAATATATAAATTACACGTGGGTTATTTTCACACCGACAGCCACTAGAGGGCACTCTAAGCTTGTGCACCAGTATCTGCTATTTGTTTGGCTGGTGCAACTTATAGTCATATGAAAATACGGTATTTATTTGATTTATCACAGGGTAGATGTGGTGATTAATGTTTTTTTAGTGTAATTGTGTGTTGGTGTAAGTCTACTATTTTAAGACACAAAATAAAATGCAAATAAATCAGAAAAAAATAATTAAATGTCAGTTATCAAGTGTTTTAAAAAAGTAATTACAAGATAGAAAATATGCTAAAATAAGATATGAGCTGTAAGCACATTTAAAGCATGTTGTGTTTTCATGTAATAAATAAATGCTAATAAATGACAGATTTACATATATATTAATATTAGTAAATACTGTATATATTATACATTATTATACATAACATATATTGTTAATATGACTATATTTTGGATGAGCAGAACTAATTCCCTGATATCCGTCTGTCTTAGGTTGACTTTGAGCTGGAGTCTTTGATGGAGAGGAAGGAGGAGGAGCGGGAGGAGTTGATGGACTGGTGGAAGATGATGTCAGAGACGCTGAACTTTTGAAGTGTGTTCGGTTGATAGTTAAAGCATTCACACATTGAAGTAATATGTTCAGCATTCTGTGTGGACGTCCCCTCAAAAAAAGAAGAAAGAATATATTCTCTTTTTTTGTTTAGTTTCTCTTTCAATCATTATTTAAATTAAATATATTGTTATTGATGTAATAATAGCCTCAAACTCCTGCGTATTCCTGTAAACTCTCTCTCACACACACACATGCTAACAGTGGGAGTACACCGTAGGCTAGTGTAAGGAAAATAAGGCTGATGTTAATTTCCGTGGCATTGTCTTCTTTATTGTATTGTAAGATGTGACTAATATTCAGACCCATCTATATAACCAATGACTATATGTGTATAAATTACATGGCTCTGTTTGAATATCATCACTTTCACTTTTTTTAATTCTCTCTTTCTCCAAGCACACAACTGTTTCCCACCGTCTGACAAACACTTGTTTAAATTTTAACAAACAATGACTGTGGTTTTAAAAAGATGAGGAACATTTAGAATGCTGTTAAAACACTATGAAATATATACATTACATTAGGAATAATTTAAAGAGGTAAGCTTATTGTCATGTATGTTTTTGATGTTTAAATTTCTGCAGCACAAATCATTTCAACACAGGGTAAAAGGGTTGTGACATACACTGTATAGATACAGGTAGAAAGCGCTCTGGTTTTTGTACCTGCAGTAATCCAAAAGGCCATCACTCGTAGTAATGAGTCCACGTCGGTCCACCTGAAACCAGGTTCACCACACAGCTTCTCACCATAGACCCCTCTGCTAAATTAACACCAATCTGAAGTGTGATTTAGCATACTAGATAAGATGCAGCTCACCTGGTCTGAAATATTGAAGAGAATTTATGAATGTAAAACTGTACAAATTGATGAAAAGTGTAAAAAAGAAAATTATCAATAAATTGCCCTCTGTATGTTGTCAGAACACAATGTTGTGGTCATTTGTTGCGAGGACTGCAGTAACAGATGTAACAATATTTTTGTGCATTGACTATTTACTTTTTGCTAATCATTTTTGCTAATATCTGTTGCCCGATATTATAAGGACATCCCTACTTCTATTTTTACATATTTAATTAACTTACCGACCACCAAGTTCTTAAATAAAAAATGATTTTTTTTTTCATTTATTTTATGTATTTTCTACAGTATTAATTAATAAACACATAACTGTATAATACATGCCATATTCCTTTTAATTTTATTTGTTGCTTCAATAAAATCCACCACATTTTAGTATTTCTTGTTCATCATCTCAGGCCTTATGACAGTACAGAACATCCACAGGCCTCATCATAACTTTTGAAAAGGATTAAAAGGAGGACACCCACCATGACGGGTGTGTTGGCTGAAAAGATATCAGCTGTGTTCGTTCACCACATGCTGCATAGGAATGATGTGAAAAAAATGCCCTTCTTTTACAGTATGTTTGGTTGATGCTAGTGTTAGTAATGAGGGTCACAGTCCTCCACCAGGCTGTCTGTGATGTAGTTGACTTTTAGCAGTTCCTGGTAAAAATCTTTCTCCACCTTTGTGTTGATTGTCCAGGCTACAACCTCCACCCCTCTGTGGGCCCAGTACTCCACATAGTCCCTACAGAAACACACACACACACACACACATCAGTATCAAGGACCGGTCACGTTTCCTGATGTAGAGATTTAGTCAATACCAATATATATAACTGATATCCAGTGTAACTACCAGACTGTGCATCCCTGAATGACTCTGAATTCATATTCATTTCAAACACTTTTTGCAAGACCTGAACCCGTGACAGTGTGGCCACAGGAGTGAGTGATGCTGAAACTCACTGTGAGACGAAGTTCTTCTGTATCAGGAAGGCTGAAATGCCACACAGCTTCCACAGGAAGTGATAATGCGCCAAATCCAAAACAATATCCATGAGTGTCATCCAGTGGTGTTTCCATGGCGACGGGAAACGCGGGAGACCGTCTCCAAACCGACTCAGACTCCACGGCCTGTGGGTCAGTGCTGTGACCACATCAGGGTCACTTTGTCTCATCTGGTACAGAGAAACAGAGAGAAGAACGGTAAAATAAATGACAAGTGATGACTCTGCTATCAGTCAAGAAACTGTTGAAACCGATTTTCATTAGTAGCTCATTCCTGCCACCAAGCATATATACATATATACAGTACATATACATATATATATCTATACATGTATGTATATACAATTTAAAGTTAATACATTTCAGAATATATATGGATTTAGAGACTATAAAGGGGAAAAATAAAATGTTTTTTGTAAAATAAAATTCAATTCAAAGTTGTACGAATTTCTTCATCAGCTCCCATCTGTGTGTCCACTTACCCTATAGATGACTTTAGTCTCGAATGAGCAGACAATGCTGCTGTTGTAGAGGACCGGATGTTTCTTATACAACTCTTTCAGGGCTGCAGCTGCCTTAGAGAAGAACAAGGACATGAGGTTAGTGTTGAAAAATGCTGTTTTTCAACAGATCTTTTTACTGCATTTAACCTGCTCCACAACATCTTTAACATCAGTGTGAGGAATTAATTTGATAAAATGTCCTTGAAATATGTATTTTTTTCCAAAGGCTTCTGGCTTTTTTTACAAGAAGGAATGCATGTTTTAAAGCAATATTTACACAACCTTATCTCATGCGTGTTAACACACAATGATCTCTCTGTACTAGGACAAAGTAAACATGATTTGGATTAGTTCAAACAATTCAATACATTTTCTTAATGTTGACAATGGAAATGACAAGCAAATGAAATAAACCCACAGTATCACAGATTGATTTTTTTTTACCTCATCTGGATGGCCTTTGACATCAAAGTAGATGGTGAGCTGCAGTTTGATGCATTCTTCCACTGCCTCCTCTAAGGTTGGGATCTTCTCTCCAGCAAATCTGTCCCTGTTGTCAAGACCCAAAGACTTAATTGTCACATCACAAGCATAAAAGTTTTTATATTTTTTTATAAAACAATAGAAAAGTCTCGTCATAGATGACGATGTCCTGAGCTCAATATGCACTAGTATGTGCAGAGAGCAGTGTTTTTGAACCCTCGGGTCACGACCTCTCTGGGGTTGCATAAATGTATCATGTCAAAACAGGGTAACAAACCAAAAAGGTTTTGGGGCCCACTGCTCGATCAGCAAATTACTCGGATTATTTCGTTGTTCACATACAGTGAAGGTCAACAATCCATGTATACACGTTGCTGGACGTCTTTATGTTGTTTCTGACCTCAGGCGGTGTTTAGCAGCTGCATCCAGTTTCTGCAGTTCAGAGAACGCCATCTGACTCAGTGGTCCTGACCCGTTGGTGGTTCGGTCCAAAGTCTCATCATGCATCAGTATTGGGATTTTATCTGCTGAGAACTCCAGGTCCAGTTCCACACCTGTTGCCCCATTTTTACTAGCCTGGTGAAGAACAGACGTGTAAGAGATGGTAGAGACAGGATTGTCAGTGAGATTTTTAATAGAACATATGTCCACAGTGCGACAGCAGAAAATCCTACTCTTCTCACCTCTCTGATGGCTGCTATCGTGTTCTCCGGGGCGTCGTGTCCACCGCCGCGGTGAGCGACCACCGACACTCCTCCCTTGCTGCCGTGCAGCACCTGTCGTGCGCGACTAGCCGGTACCTGGGGGAACCGGAACATGGCCAAAAATATGTAGAGGGAAGCGGTGAGGACTGCTGACCATACTGGGCTGCGGGTGCCTAGCAAAACTAATACGAATACGACCGAGTAGAGGGTGACATCATCTCCCAGCTGCAACATCGTTGCCCCAGTCTTGATGCGACACGTAAACAGTAGCCTGGGTGTCTGTCTCTTAAAGCTAATGTCGCTCAATGTATTTCACGTTCCATTTACGAGCACTTACTATTGGGGATAGGAGGGACTGAATAAGAGAAGCCTCTTCTTCGACCAGAAAAACACTGGGGACACGGAACTATTTCTTCCGCTGCGATGGTTCCGCCCTGTTTCAATCTTTCACATTTTACATGGTAAATATTTGACTGCTGTATCTTGTGTATCTTTAGAAATACGGCGATTGTTGATAATGAAGATAATATCGGACAATTATCGTTTAGTTGCTACCATTAGGAATAAATCTAAAAAAAGGTATGTGGACATTTTATGTAGTTCCGGGTTTAGTGTGACAGTTTCCGACAGAGACCTTCCGGCCACTACTGTTAAACGCTGGCTATTGCATATATGACTTTCTCCTCTGTTTAGTATGTCGCAGGCCATGGTAAGACGTTTCCTTCCTCATACACAAAAATATTCACTTTTGTATTTTGTCAGATGAAAGCCAACTGCTACCTGCCTTGGCCGGAACGTATGGCAGTTAGTAAAGATTGGTAACCGTGTCTTTACTGTTTATACACAAGTAGCGCACGGTGCACTTTAGTTGTGATGTTTTTATTTAGATTTTTTAAATAATCTCTAGCATTGAATTTAAGAGGCATTACTACTTATCATATAGACGTATTGCCCCAATAAGAATATAAACTAGACCAGAATGACCTTGATTTTTTTAAGTAATAGAGGCTGCATTGGATGTGATGTTATCGTTGTACATTTTAAACTATTTATATCTAAAATGTTTACAGAACGAAGTTGACCACTACTGCAGATTTTGTCATGGGGGTTAATAACAATTATCCGTTTGTTATGACCGATACCACCGTGATAATTGTTAAGGTCATATTCTTTAGAATTTAAGAAATAATGACCTCCACGTGATTTAGACTAGTCCAATATGTTTAGGCGAGTCTGGTATGTAAATCAGGTGTTGACGTGATGTATGTCATATTTGTACAGATCAGGTCAGTGCGACTGGGCAGATTAACTCATGTCCAGTCCTGCTGGAAAGGATCAAGGCAACTAACAGGGTGGATTCCTAATGTTGAGAAGCCCACCAGACAAACACCTATCAATCAGGACCTCAGCAGATGCCTTTCACCCAGAATCAATGCTTGTGCCAGATACTGTGACCTCTCTTCTCAGAAGTACTCCCTGATTTACTCCCTACCACATATCAGGATCTTAAGGGTGGTTTCAAGGCTCAAACTGTTGCAAACTGGAATCACAATCACCATCCTGCCCCCTGTGTACTACCTCTACCTCCAGGGAGATGTGTCCTCCTACAAGGTCTGCTATGCAACAGGGATAGCAGTGTTTGCTGCTGTGATGCTGTATACAATCAGTAATATTCTTAGAAAAGTTGTAGGGATGATGTACCTGGATTCATCACAGACTACACTCAAAGTGTCTCACCTGACGTTCTGGGGCAAGCGCCAGGATATTTACCTCCCTGTGTCAGATATAATGACCATCGGGGACACGGGGAACTCTGGCAATGAGAGAATATTGAAGCTAAGAAGATACAGCAGTCCACATACCCTGTATTTTTCCCCCTATTATGGACGTGTGCGGGATCAAGATGGATTTGAGAAGGTCTTTGGAAAGTTTTAATAATGTTAATGTTGTTCTTTTATGGTTGAACTTTACTGATCCCACACTGGGACCAATATTTCTGCCTGGTCTTGGAATCCAGTAAGTGGATGTATTTAAGATGGTATTCTGAATAAACTTCCTTCACCTAAAGAGAGTCTCCCTCGTGCTGTATTTGGGTCCTGCCTTCTTCCTAACATCTCAGGACGTAACACCTAGATGAAGTTTTTAAGACAAATAAACACCAAAACATTACACCAAATATTAATTTGATTGGTATTTATTGTCTGTTCACTCAGACATTTTGTCAATAAATAAATAAAAAGATAAGAACTGTTTATTCTAGTTGTTGTGTCTACTTCTTGTTTGCTCCTGTCTACTTGTTTTTAATTAACCTCATACGGATTATTAATATTTGTTTAAATCTTTTTCTGGATGAATGTATTGCAAATGCATTTACCGTCCCGTTCAATGACATTCCCATCCAAAACGTAGCTCAACTATACAATGTAGTATGGCAATTGCACCACTAGATGTCCCTGTAAGCCATAATAATTTATTTCGAATTCAGAGGAAACGCAACTGGATTTGTCCTGCGTACTGTAGCTACTGTTTAACGAGATAATAAGACTGTGTAATTCAAGCCAGACATTCAGGTGGAGCTGAAGGTTGTAGCTCTTTCATAAAGTGGTGATTATTTCACAGCCTTGACCTTACATTATGTTCAGTCACATCATATAATCCTTACTACCATAAGGGATGACTTATAATACTTGTTCTGAGCACCAGCAAATATTTTAACTGACAGGGTCATGGTAATCTATGGTTCGATTAACCTTGAACACCTGATGGCGTCAGTTATTGTGAATTTACAGACACTCCTTTGATTAAACGGAGGAAAAGAAAACATGTTTAGTTCACCTATGTATTCCCAGAAGAACACTTGAGAACATGAACAAAGAAACAAAGGTCGAGAAGTGGAGTTCTCTTTCCTCGGTAAAGCCCCTATGTATTGAAAAGGGATTCTGGCACCGCTGAGGTTTTCTTTTATGTCTTCAAGGGCCCTGGAGAGACCCACCTCTACTTGTTGCTGTCTCGTACCAAAATGTCTGACTAGCGGACCCACCTTTGTTTGTTTTTCTTATTGTTAATAATCGAGCCTGGCTTCCTATGATCAACAATATTGCATTGACCTCGACTTCATTCTTCTGCTGCTTGAATGATTTGGCTTGTATATATTCAGAACAATTTCCTGTGTTTATGAACATTAGCCTGGTTGTCTCTGAGTCATTCCTCATTAACAATATATAGGAAGGCACATGGAGCCTTTAATACCTTATATGTCATGCCCCTTAATATGTCTGACCGCTTGTGTATTCCCAAAGAGGCATTTATCTCAGTGCAACCTGGATGCTATCATGCTTGGCTCACTCCCTGAGAGCGCTCGAACTAAAGCCATTCCTCCCTGGGGAAGACATGACGCAGCTATGGTCAACTGCCCAGTTACACCAGATCCTGGTAAACACACATCCACCTCAATGGCAGCTTGTTCCTTCACATTGTCTACTGCATTCCAGATTGTTTTTGGCACAATATTTTGGAAATGTATCATTCAAAAGGGAAACCTTCCTGTCGCTGAAGGATTTCCTCTTGTTTTCAGTATTGGAAGGCCGAGGCTAAAATAGGCCGGATCTTTTCTTTTTGTCAAGATTATTTGGTGCTGGGGTGACTAATCAGACAAACTTAAATGATATGTCACTTCACTTTCAAAACACATTACTCATCCACTGCTGCAGGGCCCACACAAGGAATACTATTGTTTTTTTACATCCATATTTAGAAATAATAAGATGGAGAAAAGGTCAGCCTGTGTCTGAAAAACAATTCAATCAACAAACAATCCAAAAAAACAGCTCGCTAACTTACATTTAATTTAATTTTTGGAAAAAATAACAGGAGTTTTTCAGAGGATTAAAATGATTAAACCAGGCTTTAGAACAGTAATATCATGTGGCAACTATCAGCAGAATTAAATATTATTTAAACCTGTTTGTACCAGATGCAAGAAGAAAGAAACATGTATCAAACATACGTTAAAGCAGGGGGTTCAAACTCCTGGACCATAACGGCCACTTCCGTTCCGGTCCAATGCTGTTACAGATGACGAGGTGGCCGAGTGGTCAAGGCGATGGACTGCTAATCCATTGTGCTCTGCACGCATGGGTTCGAATCCCATTCTCGTCGCAATCTTTACTGAACTTCCCTGATGTGTGATCAATAAAATCTTATCTTACTGTATTTATAATAACTTATCAAATATTTATATTCACGAAGTAATAAGCAAGAATGGATGATATTGGGAAAAGCATTTATAATAACTTATCAAATATTTATAGTCACGAAAAACTGTCTCAAAGTAATAAGCAAGAATTGATGATATTGGGAAAAGTCAATCAGAGCATGTGAATCAGGGTTTTCAAAATCGAGTGGCCAAAATTTTAAAACACAGCCCAAGCAGGGGCCGAACAGGAATAACATTTATTGAACGGTCTAATGCTGACATTGCTTTGAACAGAAATATTGAATTTGAAAAGATTTTTTTTCTAAATAAAATAAATAAAAAATGAAGTCAAAATAATATCATCAAGCAAAATTGGAATTAGAGATTGATGCAATTTGGATAAAATCTGACCGCTGCATTTAACCCAGCTAGTAAACTTTAACCTAAAATAAAAGTCTAAAGTAGAACTTTAGACTTTTATTTTAAGAAAACTAGACTCTGAGCTAAGTTCTGAGATAAGTTCTGACCTCACCTCATTTGACTTTGAGGCCTATGAAATGCCTGTGTCCAAACAAAGTCATCAAGCAGATTTGGGTTCTCACCTCATACACATCACTCTCAGTTTGCAGCGTGCAGATTGGCAGCTACCAGCTATAATGTCTGATTTACAGCTGTTGAAAGTGAACAGCTTTGTCTCCTGCGTGTGCCGTGGTTTGAAGCCCGGACCTCGGTGTCATAAATCCCGGTGGCAGTGGCGACCTGCATAGAATGAGTCTAACCCTGCCATCAGGGTTATAATTAGAAACATACTTTGTGTTGTTCTCAGACAGGAAGCAGCTGTGTCCAAATGTGTGTGTAGCTAAGTGCTAACAAAAAGCGGAAAATGTACACATAGGGGAGGCATGCGATATGATCACAGCGTGGTGTTTCAGCAGTGCAGTCACCTCCTTAGAATGTGCAGGTGAATGGGACGGCAGGATGGAGGGAGTCGAGGCATTGAGACACAGGATCCACCGGTCCTCTGTGTCCCATGATTCATTTGGACATCACTGAACTACAGACAGTCCTACAGGTTGATTCACAGCCACAGCCACAGACAAGACTTGGCTTTTAACCTCGATCCAAATATATTATGTATCTTACACAGAGCTTCAAGGGTTGTTTGTCTATTATCTCTGACCTGTGTGTTTTATCACAGAGCAGGTTTATATAATACCAAGTACAATTGATATTTTACATTAAATCTTTAGTAACTTTTTGTAATTTATCCCAAATTAAAGTGAATCAAAAAATAAGGTCACATTTGATATACATGTTATAAAGCTATATGTAAATATATGGTGCCTATTTGTACAAATAAACTTGGCATGTACACACACACACACACATTGATGTGTGCATCAGTGTTTGAGAGTGTGTAGGTCAAGGTTCAAGGACAACCTTTATTTCCATGTGTATACATGTGAAGGGTGCCCACATTCCCATGCTGGTCGACGTGTCTCATACTGAACACTTGTACACATTTTTTTGAGAACCAGATATTTGTGTGAGGCCCTACAGGGTAGCGATGACTCAAACCCGTCAGACGTAGACAAGAGGAGTCTTGGTTCAACAGTTTCTTCAAAATAAACTCCTTTGGCTGAAGCTGCTGTTGTCAGAAGACGGCTAACATTAGTGTCTGTACTGGCAAAATGAGGTCAAAGAGTCTGTTTGTGTAGATGAGGCAGAAGGAGGACATCATAGAAAACATATCTTTCTAGGTTCTCAGTCATCCAGGTAATCTTATCCAGATCAAGGGCAACTGGACAGAGTAGGTTTTGTAAAGACGTTTCACCTCTCATCCAAGAGGCTTCTTCAGTTCTGAACTTCAAAAAGCCTACTCCGTCCAGTTGCCCTTGATGTAACAATTCTTGGGCACAGAAAAAATACTTAATTCTGGAGAAATGGTCAATAAAGTCCCTGAAGACTTAGAATATGTATTAAAAGGTTTTGCACAAGAGATAATATCTTGCACACTTCTTGGAATTCAACATACTGTATTTACAACCTAAGGTATGGAGACCATGGTCTGGACCCCCTGAAGAATTGGGCAATTGTTTATTTTATCTTCATCTTTTCTCACTTTGTGCACAGAAGATACAAACTCTTGCCCTTAAAACGTTCTTTTCTCCAGAGGATACTTCATTTTTATCTCCACATGTATTTCACTGAATGTAAGAGGATACTTCATTTTTATCTCCACATTCACTGAATGTGTTCTCAGTGAAATACATTTACAACATTTGACAGCTGTGTCTTTATCGAGCTGCCAAGGTCGGAGCAGCTTCTGTGTTGATCATCTGCCTGCAATTCTGTTGCATTAACCTCTGGACATGAAAACACTTGTGAACAGATGAGATAAGAAACCTTTGGGAGTGTAGTTCTGCTGAATGTACAGCCACGCTGGAGAAACAATCTAAATACATCAGCGCAGAGTGTATTGAGATTAATGCATCATCCACTATGTACGTAAAGAAAAATAAATAGGCAGCACTTTGTCAGGAATTATCTGTGGTATACTGTAAAACATTCAACAATCCAGAGATTAAATCCCCTCTGGGTCGAGACATTTTTAGACGAGTACATTAGTGTGACTGTGTAATCCTGTAGCAGTGAAATATAAACTGATGAACAGCTTTATATGCCTCATAGCTTACTTAGTCTCAGGTACACTGCCACCAAAGTTAAGTCATCCATAAACTGCAGGTTCAGGATGATCTCATTCTGTTGCCACCTGTTTGGCAGGTCAGTTCAGATTCGTTTGGTTGGTGATTCTTCTTTTCCTTAAACAAACATCCTTAGCTTAAATTAAATAGTAAGTACTTTCCTTATACCTGACACAGGGACTTTCTACATCACATACGTCAAACTCAAGGCCAAATGTGGCTTCCCCTATTATTTTATGTGTACCGTCAGAACTTAGCTCTGAGTCTGGTTTTCTTAAAATGAAAGTCTAAAGTAGAAAGTCTAGGTTAAAGTTTACTAGATGCGTTAGATGCATAAAACTCCTGACAGA